ACCCCCTCCCTTACCACCCACTCCGCCCCCTCCCTCTCCCCCCCTCAATACCCAGCAGAAACTATTTTGCCCTTATTTCTGATTTTGTTGGAGAGAGAGTATAAGCAATAATAGGAAGGAACAAGGGTTTTTGCTGGTTGAGATAAGGATAGCTATACAGGGCATTGACTCACATTGATTTCCTGTGCGTGGGTGTTACCTTCTAGGTTAATTCTTTTTGATCTAACCTTTTCTCTAGTACCTGTTCCCCTTTTCCTATTGGCCTCAGTTGCTTTTAAGGTATCTGCTTTAGTTTCTCTGCGTTAAGGGCAAGACCGTCTAGTTTAAACTATTCTAAAATATTGTCTCAAATTCCATTTGTTAGAAATTCTGTCCCCTCTCTTCTTTCTTCTTGTTTTTTAGGAATTTTTATAAGAAAGAAAATACCTTGCGTTGGCCGGGAATCGAACCCGGGTCAACTGCTTGGAAGGCAGCTATGCTAACCACTATACCACCAACGCCTCACTAAAACAATAATTTTCTGCTTTCCTTTAATAGAAATGTAATCGGTTATGTTGGGTCATACCAAGCTTCATAGGGGTGTTTCTCGTAGAATTCTCCTTTGCAGGACGACACGGCACGTTCCACATCATGGGCCGCCAGAGCCGTTCCAGTGTGTTTCCCCCCATCGCTACGGGCTCGTTGGTTCCGGCCATATGCTATCCAATCACAAGCCGCCGCTTGGGCAGCTCAACTTCCGGGTCAAAGGGACCTGAGCCGGTGGGTCCCCGTGTCCGCCGCCGCCGCTGTCCCCCGCACCCGCCACTTCCGGGGCCGCAGTCCGGGGCATGGAGCCTCGAATGTGAGGCGTCGCCGGCCCCGGGACGCCCGCCCAGCCCGGCCGCCGCCCCGCGCCCCGGTGAGCAGCGCCCGCGCGCCGAGTCCCGTCTCACCCGTGACCCTGAACCCGCCATTGACTGGCCGCGCCTCAGCTGCGACCCTGGACCCGCCATTGACCGGACTCCCCGGAGCCTCCGCCCCAGCCTTCTCGCACCCCGGCCCCGCCATTGGCGCGTCCGCCTCCCCACCCCCTCCCGCTGCCTCGGTTTCCCCTCCGCCCCGCGTCATCCTCGCGTCTTCTTCCCTATTCTAATTGCTCCGTTGGTTGGGCCACCTCGCAGTCTGTCCTCTTCCCGACCCGTCTGACGTCCATCCCCAGGTTGCCCAGGCCACCCAGGTCTGGCCCTTTCCCGGGCCGGCCGCGCCCGAGATCGCGCTCCCCGCTACAGACCCTGACAGCCGCCCGGCTTCCCTGGAAGCTACGGACGTGCTGACCCTCCCTCCCCATGCAAATCCTACGTGACAGATCAGCCATCTCCTAGGACCTGCGACCTGCCCCAGCCCTCGCCTCCCCAGGCCCCATCCCCTCTCCACCAACACCAGGTCCTAATCCTCAACCCCACCTTCCCGCAGCTCCCCGGCCTGCCGGGCGCCCACCTTGGCCCCGCACAGCCTCAGCCCCGCCCTGACCGCTCCATCAAGCAAGGCTGTCGCCCGCCATCTCCTTTTGCCCCCCACCCCTGGCTCCCCCGGGCCTGGTGGCAGTCACTTGGCTCCACCGCAGAAACCAGCCTGCTTTCCAGGAGCTGTTACTAATGCCCAGGAGGTGTGGATTGTAATCCCCAAGCCCTGAAGTCCCTGACTGGGTTCTGGGGGAATTGGGCAACTGGGATGATTTCTCTCCCAGGTTCAGTCCCAGACGTACAGACGGGCTGGGGGCGGGATGCACATCTAGAGTCTAGCCAGGTAGAAAGTCTGTGATCCCAGACTGGAAAGCCAGCCAGCCAGCCAGCCAGCCAGCCGAGGGCAGCCTGTGCCTAGCTAGTCCCTCCATCCGCCTGCCTCCCTAACGACACGTTTATTGTATCAAGGTCCGTGCCCTCGCCTGCTGCTGGAATGGAGGCTCCTTGGACCCTTTAGAAGGTCAGTTACACTGGGGTCGCATAGCCTGGCAAGTTAGGGGGTGGGCTTTGGAATTTGAGACTGACAGGAAGTGGCTTTCAGCAGGGATCACTGACCCAGGGCGGTGGCCATGGCTTTCTGAGCCCCTGCCGAACGGTTGTCCTTTCATGCATTGTCCCCCTCCAGCTGCTGCTGGTAGGAGCCCTCCAAAGGGCCAGGGAGAAAAGGCAGAGCGCCCAATCCTGCTGGATGCAGTGGGGGTGTGGCTGCCCCTCCCCCATCCCACACAGTGCATGGCTCCTGGTCAGCAAAATCAATGTGGATTTTGCTCGGGAAGGGACTTTGGTTCCCTGCTGCCCTTGGTGTGATTATAAATATCCTGTTTAGATGACAGCATTAGTTGTCATTTAGTTTGTGCCTTGCCCGGTGTGGTATGAGTCATATGTGTGCCATTTCATTTACCCTCACAGTAGGCCCAGGTATAGGTAGTGTACTGTAGTCCCATTTTCCATCTGGGGAAAATTGAGGCATGGGGAGGTTAGGTGGCTTCCCCAAGGTCACGCAGCCCAGATGTATCTGAGCCCATCTCCCTCTGACATGGAGCCCCCAACATTTCTCCACTGGACTGGAAGTGCAGCCATGTCTCGTTGTGGTGAGGGTACATCCCTCCTCCATTGTGACGTGCTATTATCGCTGTTTTGTGTCCAGGTTGATATTCTTCTTCTTTTTTTTGGTGGTACTGGGGTTTGAACTCAGGGCCTCATACTTGCTAGGCAGGTGCTCTACCACTTGAGCCACTCTGCCAGTCTTTTTTTGCTTTGTTTATTTTTCAGATAGGGTCTTGTGTTTATACCTTGGCTTGCCTGGACTGTGATCCTCTTATTTATGCTTCCTTCATAGTTGAAATGACAGGCAGGTCAGCATGTCCAGCTTTATTGGTTGAGATGGAGTATCATGAACTTCTTGAGGCTGGCTTCAAACTGTGGTTCTTTAGATCTCTGCTTCTCAAGTAGCTGGGATTACCGCGCCTGGTTTGGTGCGACATTCTTTAAGTTATAGCCACTTGCCTGTACTGGGGCATGGGTTTTCTGAGAAAGTCATTGGTCAGTGATCGTCCCAGTGTTCCCTGACTTTCAGCAGCACTGAACAAGGACAATGTGCCTCCAATCTAAAGCAGCCTGCGGACAGGCTGTGGTTTGAGGCTCAGGGTATACAATAGGATCTGGTCAGACATGGGGCTCCTAGTGAGGGGCTAGCAACCCAGTGTGAGTGTGGAGCATTCATCCACCCAGAGTGGGTCCCCCCCCAGCATTTTCACTCTATGCCAGGAGCTCCTAAGTTGTAACAGCCCCAAATGTCCACAGACATGGCCTGGTGATCCCTAGGGGCAGAATCACCCCAGTTGAGACTCTGCCCCAGGGGGAGGGTGGCACAGAACTATTCTCCAGGTCACTGTTCTTGTCCAGGTCATGATAGGGTGACCAGGTGGCAACTGTGCATCAAGTGTCTGGGACCACTTTGGCGCAGAAGGACAAGAAGGAGCGCATCACACAGAGCGGGAGGACTGGCCCCATATAGGGGCTGGCAGGTGCAGAGGCCGGATGTCTAGGCGCAAGTGATGAGCCCAGTGTGGCAGAGGTCAAGGTCATCAGGGAAAGATGAGGTCAAGAAAGCCACCAGGGAGCAGCCTCAGCGTAGGACTTGGGGTTGGATCTGCTTCCCACAAGTGCCCCTTGGGTGGTGTCGCCAGAGCCACTGGAAACACCTGGGGACTTTATTTTAAGCTAGAAAGAAAAGATGTTGGGGTCCAGGTTTGAGGGACTGCAGCTGGCCACTGCCTCCTTGCTGGCAGGGTCCTGAGGCGGGACAGGGAAGCCCATGGTGAGAGACAGGGAGGTCACTGTAGGGATTTCTTACCTGGAGAAAACCGTCAAGCAAGAAAGTCGCACGGTTCTGGGGAGCACCTGGTACCATCTGGCACTTCAGGAGCATCAGGAACCGTGAGCCTGGGAGGTTAGTTGAGAGCTGCAGCAGTCTCTCCTCTCTGCAGGCCCCGCCCTCCGAGTCAGCTGCACGGTTAATGCGGAAGGTTAAGAAGTTGCGCGTGGACCAGGAGAACACTGGAAGTTGGCGGAGGTAAGGGGGGCCTCAAAGCCCAGACTGGCCGGCGCGAGCTACACTTCTCCAACAGGGTCCCTTCTGATTGTTTTGCACAAGGAGGCAGCGTGGCCTAGAGCAGAACTCCCTTGGCACTGTGGACAGCCACATGGGCACGTCCTGGGTACTGCAGGGTGCTAGTAGCATCCAGGCCTCCACCATTAGGTACCCATAGGGTCCCCTCTAAGTCATGGGAACCACAAATGTCCCCAGACTTCAACAAGAGTCTGCTGGGTGCAGACTTTGGGAGATGGGACCTGCTGGCCTGGCGGTCAGGATGTGGGTTGCAGAGTCCAGCAAACTTGGCTTCTGCTCCTCTTCCTCAATTGGTGAATCCATGTCCAGTCCCCAGCATGAGCCTGGTCCCAGAACTGGCCCCTCATTTCAGTGTGCTACAAACGTGCATACCCTGCGAGTCACAGGGCACCAGCTGAAGCCCACACCTCACCTGGCCTGGAGTGGAAAGTTCATAGAAAGTCCTTTAGTGACCCAGCCCCACACCTGGTTTCTTTCTCACTTTCTTTTTTCTTTTTTATGGTGGTACTGGAATTTGAACTCAGGGCCTCATTCTTGCTAGGCAGGCAGGCAGTCTGCCACTTAAGCCATGCCACCAGCCCTTTTTGCTTTTTAGTTTGTTTTTCAGATAGGGTCTCTCGCTTTTGCCTGGGCTGGTCTCCAACCAGGATCTTCCTGCCTCTGCCTCCCAAGTACCTGGGATTACAGGTGCGCACCACTACACCCGTCCGGCCCCCGTTTTCTGATACTCAGGCACAGGAGCAGTGGGGGAGGCATCAGGAGGGGACTGGGGAGATGGGGAGGCTGCAGCGCTGTCCCTTCTGCAGGCGCAGGTTCTGAACACCGGCGGGTGCGTAAATGCATCGGGGTGAGTGGCTGGTGGCGGTCAGCCCCATCATCCCTGCACGTATTTGTACAAGGTCCTGGGTGGGCAGAGGCTGCCAACCAACTCTGTGGGGACACTGATGGCCCAAGTGGCAGTGGGGGCAGCGCCCATGGGCCCTGCGACCCTTGCTCCCCACCCCCTTCCTTTCTGCCCTGCTGCTTTTTGGTGGACTGACTGCCCGGGAACTGCAGTCAGCACTGAAAACCTGTGGTTTCTTCTTGCCTTTCGCCGTTCTCCCTCACCGTGGGGGAGGGCATTGGGAGGGTCTCAGGCGGATGCCCTAGGGGGGAAGGGGTTGGCTGGTCCCCACCCTTGAAGTGCCAGCGGTGACACCACAGAACTCCAGCCTGGCCTTGGCAGTGACTTCTCCAAAAGGCCTAAAGCTGTCCACTGGTGGTGGGGCAGGCTGTGAGGCAACCTGCTGGTTGGTGGGAAGGAAGTGTAGGTGGACTGGGTCGAGTGGCTTGGAATCCACTCTCCTGCCTCCAGCTGTGTAAACTCTTGCCTCGGAACGGAACTGCAGCACAGGGTGGCACTGGTGGGGGCCTCGCTTGTCACCTGCTCCTCTCCCCAGCCTCCCTGCGAGGTCCCAGCTTTGCCTCCAGGAAGCAGAGCGGCAAGTGGTGGGCCAGGCAGTAGCACGTCCAGGAGCCCAAGCTAGAAGGTTCTAGCCACTTCCAGAAGATTCCTAGACGCTCCTCCCGATGTCTCATTTCATTTCCCGTCTCCTGGATCGTAACTTTGCTTCCTGGGCACTCTGCGGGGATCAGAGGCAAGACAATTTTCTGGGGTTCTTTGCTATGGAAATGCGTTGTGGGGTTTTTGAAGGCTTTTGGCTAGGCTCTTGGTTCTGGAGGCCATGATTTCTTTCCTGCTATATACAAGGCTTGAATTGGGGTGGCAACTTTGGGATTCTTAAGCCAGTCAAAAGTGCTCCCCCTGGCTGGGTTTTCTGGGCTTGTTGCCAGTGGCACTTGGGACTGTTGTGGGTTCCTGAGCCCTAGCTGATCCAGGGCCTGGCCCCTGTCTAACACCGCCCAGGCCTCCCTGCTGTCCTGGGGGTGAGCTACAGCTCTGCAGGGGTTAGGACACCCTGTATGTAGCCTGTGGCAAGTCCCCCATCTTCTCTGGGTTGGACTTGTGTGGCCAGAGGGTCGTGGCTGCCCCAAGGGTCTGCGGTCCACATCTTCAGAACTTTTCAAGGGCACTGAACTGACTGCTCTGGCTGGAGGGCAGACACACTGCTTGCTGGGCCCAGGCCCCTCTGCCAGTAGGACTAAGTGAGGGAGGAAGTACTTCCCTGTCCTTGGCCAGGGCCCAGACGTCAAGGCACTGCTGGGGCTAGACAGGGCAGGAATGCTCTGAAGCCACCCGCCCAGAAGTTGTCTTCCCCATGGGTCCGTGTCCTGCTGTGCAGGAAGCCTGTGATACCCACCCCCCAGGCCTTTCCACGTGATGTGGGTGTCCTGCAGAGTGAGGCCTAGGAGGCTCTCTAGAGTATTTGCCTGCTACACCTGCCCAGGGGGCTTGTCACCCAGCATCTCAGTGGAGGCTGAGAGCCAGGCTACCTCCACTGAACCCCCTTTTTTCATTCTGCTCTCCCAGCCTCAGTTTCACCACCTGTTGCAGGTCAAAGTTTACAGGTCCTGGTTTCAAATGTGCTCAGGGATATTCTTAGCTGTCTCCCCTTCTTACTTAAAGTGGGTTGGGGTCCTTTCTCCTACGCTGGTCACTCTGTTGGTGCTCCCCCTTCCTGTCCTAGGACTCACACCCCTCCTACCTCAGTCTCCCATGTGCTTGGGTTACAGGTGGGCGCCACCATGCCACCATGGGTCTGTTGTTGGGAGCTGAGTGAAGGGGCCCAATTACTGTGTCCCTAGAGCCCTCACCTCTGCCACCCTGCCCCTGTGGGACTGCAGCTTTGCTCCTACCCCTGCAAGGGAGCTCCCACTGATGCTGGTCCCAGAGGTCAAGAGGTGCGGCATGGGCCGGGAGTCACGGGGAGCCTGCAGTGAGGCTGCCCTCGGCTCTCTTCCCAGACCGCTGGCGCTGCCAGAACCGGGTCACTGTGGCCTGGCTGTTTGGATTTCCTAAAGCAAATATTTGCCTGGCTGCTCCAGGCTGGTGAGCAGTGTGCTAAGCCGGAGGCAGCTGAGGGAGGGAGCTGTTGGGGGCAGCAGCCCTGGGTGGCCTGGGAGAGCCGCAGGATGTCATTTGGGAGGATGTGCACACTCGCCCACCTGGGTGATGGCCCAGCACATCCTCCCTGTTGCTCTGAGCACGCACAAGGAGGCAAGAGTCTTCCAGTGGGCTAAGGCAGGCCGCAGGATGCTGACCTCTGCCTTTATCCCTTTTGTTCCGTGGCCAAGTGTGCCTCCCAGCAGGCTTTATGAGAGATGTTCCTTAGGGACTGCGGGGTGCTAGGTCCCACATTAGGGTCTGGGGACATGGCCATGAATGGGACAGATATGGGGAGACAGGAGTTTGAGTAACCATGGTGACAGATGCTCGAGGGGGGACAGCAGGTGGCATATGACAGATTACTGGAAAGACCAGCTTTGGTCAGGGTGGTTAGCCTAGAGGTTTCTAAGGGTTTGCCAAAGGTTAAGCTAAGATCTGTTTAGAAGTTAGCCAAGCGAAAAGAGGAAAAAAGTGTTTGAGGCAGAAGGCAGCATGTGCAGAGGCCCTGGGGAGGGGGGAAGGGGTCCGGCCTATTTGAGGAACAAAGGCTAGTTTCTCTGGGACCCAGTGATGCAGCAGGGTGGGGTTCAAGAATCTGGTGGGAGGCAGACAATAACCTCCAAGGCTGTGATGAGGACTGGGGTTTGGGTGGTTTTTTTTCCTTTTCTTTTTGCAGTCCTCAGGGCCTCACCCATGCTAGGCATGAGTTAGCAGCCTGCAGAGACAGGAACCAGTGGAGACATTTAGAGGACAGTGTGGCTGCACAGGACCGGGTGCCTGGTGGGGGAGTTTGGGAGGAAAATGACGCCTCTTCTCATCCTTTTACCTTCTCGGCCCTCATGCCTTGTAGCTTCTCACTGCATTCCGAGGGGGCCGAGAGGATGTCCGGCGGGGCCCCGCCGGCTGAGCGGGCCGCTGTGGGCGACATGGACGACAAGGCCACCCGCTTCCAGGTGCAGAAGCACTCATGGGACGGGCTGCGGAGCATCATCCACGGCAGCCGCAAGTACTCGGGCCTCATCGTCAACAAGGCCCCGCATGACTTCCAGTTTGTGCAGAAGACAGACGAGGGTGGCCCGCACTCCCACCGCCTCTACTACCTAGGTAAGTCCACCCTCCCCAGGGCAGTAGGGCCCGTGAGCTGGAAGAGCCCCTAGGTGGCCTGCCCTGGCATGGTGCATAGGTTCGGCTGTGCAGGTGATCAAGCAGAGGATGCTGTTGACCATCATGGTGCAGTGCTGGCGAGGGGACTCTGAGCCTGGAAGTGGCTTCCGGTGGTCAGCTAGACCACTTACCTGCACCTGGTCCCGACTGGGAGGGGCTTATGAAAATAAGCCAGGACTCCGGTCCCCAGGGGAGTCACATGCCACTCTAGGGGTTCATGTGCTAAAAAGGATCCTTTCCGAGGCAAAGTGCTTTGATTGTGAAACTGCCTGCTGTGGCTGGCTGCGGGGGGTGGCTCACCACATTCTCCTACCTGTCCCAGGTACCCCAGTGAGTGTGCTCACGGTGGCCACTTTTTCCTTGGTCGTGTACCCTGTGAGCAGTGCTTTCCTGGGCCTGGATTCCAGCAGGGTCACCAGAGCCTCAGGACACAGATCAGGCCCCATGGGGTCCTGCAGCCTTAGCAGCCAGGCCAGGGCTTGGCCCCTTACAGTGGACAGGAGGTATCTAGGAGCAGACAGGCACTGGTCACCTAAAGGACTCACAAAGCTGCAAGGAAAAGGGCCTGTGGAAATCAACCAGGCCCTCTTCTTTAGAAGCTGTGTGACATGTGCCTGGCACTGTGGACTCTCGACCGGGTCTTTCTCTGTGGGGCATCCTGTACTGCAGGCACTGTGCAGTATTCCAGGCTGCCACCCACCCTGTGCCAGGAGCTCCCCCAGCTGTGATACCCACACATGCTCTTGGATCTCAGAAGCCTTCATGTCTTGCAGGGAGGAGGAACCACTTGAGGCATATTTGGGGGACAGTGCAGGTTGCACAGGACAGGGCAGGTCTGGAAGAATCCTAGCATCTGGTGAGGGGACCTTGGGAGCAAATCAACCCTTTCTTGTCCTCATGTTCTCTCCAGACATGGGCCAGGGATGGGGCAATATTGCCCACAGTCGTTAACTACTGTATAGGGTGGCATTAGAATTATTCTCAGGTCAGTCCTCTTGTCTCAGTGGCTTGCCATAGTAGTCTCAGACCAAGAGCATGCCTGCAAGTGCCCGGGCCCTGAGGCCACACTCGAATGAACTAGTGCTTTTCTGAATCAGTGGATGTCATCCTATGCCTGAGGCTGACCGTGAGCTGATGGTGGAGAATGAGAGGGACACCAGGCAGCTGTCCTTATCCTGCAGTTCACACCATCCCCTTCAGTTAGGCCTTGTGGAAACTGGACATGCTGAACTTAAAAAGATGGCCATCATTTGTCTGATGCTCGTCTGTCTTCCTATCACTTGTGGTGGCTTCCAAGCTATAGGAGCAGTGCAGCTATGACACCAATCACATGGCTGCAAAGGTGACAATAATTCCTCCCTGGCCCTTTGCAGAGAGGTGCTTGCCAAGGCTGGTCTAGAAGAAATGAGGACTGGAAAGGCTTCAGATTTCAGCCACCCAAAAGAGCATGGCCCATAGGCTAGGAAGTGTCTGGGGCCATGCTGCTGGGGGCTGTGGCTTCCCCTGGTTTTCTCTGCAGTCCCTCTGGCCTCACTCCACTTGCCATCTTGGTCCAGATACTTGAGTGAGGTTCCTGTGGCTTCCATAACAGATTAGCACTGAGTTATTGGCTGCACACACACAAATTCATTGGCTTTCAGCTCCAAAGGCCAGAATCTGAGGTCAGTTGTGCCTGTGGGCCACACTCTGTCCACAGGCTTTAGGGGAGGATCTGTTACCACCTTAACGTATTCAGAGCTGCAAAGCCCTGTCTTATTATATAGGGTGACATTTGCACCCAGGCCCAAGGATGTAGACATCTCTCTCTGGAGTTTGCTATTCAGCTTCCACAGAGCTGCAGAAAGGGATGGAAACCCTTCCAGCTGATGTCAGCCTCAGTGGGGCATCTTGTAATCGAGATGTAGAGGCATCATGTGGAACCCAAAGGCACAAAACCCTCTGACCTCAGGCAGGAGACTGGGAACCTTCCAGAAACCATGTACCGGCTCTGTATATGAACCTCCGCCTCACTCCACTCTGCCTATTTTGCCCACCTGCCCTCCCCGCACCTCCCAGGGTCCAGGGGCTCCTCTGCTCCAGCAGAGATGGATGAACTTTCTCAAGAAGAAATCTGACTGGCTCTGTGTAGGTCAGATGGCCCAGTCAGCTCTAGTCAGTGCTTATCTATGCTAGGATGGGCCAGTCTTTATCAGCTTTCTCCAAGTTACAGGGAGAAGGAATCTGATTGGCTCAGTGTAGGTCACATGATCCAGTCAGCTTCAGCCTGTGCTTGTCTGGGGAGAGGGAGGTCCTTGCAGTACACCTGAGGTTGCTGAGAGCCCTTCCAGCCAGCCTTCCCCAGCAGGTAGAGGAGTGGTTCCAGACAAGGTGTACACTTGGCAGAGACCCCAAAATGTACCCAGAGCAGCTGACAGCCATGCTGTCTCTATCCAAGTGATGGTCACCCTTCAACTGACCTCAGTTCACCTCCAAATCCTGGGGGCAGGCCTTCCCATGGCCCCCAAGCATTTATCCATACCTTGGCACCAAGCCTTGCCTTGGGCTAATGCTGGCAGCCAGCAGACTCCAAGGGCAAGGCCCGCCTGCTGTCTTGAGTGTGTGACCCACTCATTGCTGCTACTGCTGGGACCTCTGTATCCTTGCAGGTGGCAGGTTTGCTGCTTGGGCACACAGAGTTAGTCACCAGGGAGGACTTCAGATCTATGGCATGAAGTCCAGCAACAATCTAGGTGGAACAGAGAAGGGGACCTTCTGGATCCTTCTGCAGTAGAATGGGCCAGAGATGCCTGGGGTTCCAGGACTCAGGAAGCACTTCCAACCCAGTTCTCCAGCTCGAGCCTTGGCTCAGCCTGGCACCTTGCCCACAGCCTTGTCTGTGGGGTAGAGGAGGCTGCAGGGCCCTGGACTCTCAGAAGGGAAAGCCAGGACTCTTGGCTCCTGTGTCCCAATCAATATTCCAAGGGCGAGCCCTGGCCCAACTTGGGTCATATGCCCTTACCACCAAGGCCACACCCCACGGTCACTGGGTGCAATGTTGTTGCAGGCCTGAAGCACCTGCCGTGCCTGAGGCTAGAGAGTGGGTGACGATGGGCCGTGGGTATATGTGAAGGGCAGAGCTGGTAAGAGAAGGCCGGGAGGGATGGGGCAGCAGAAGTCCATGCTGTCGCCAGTGGCCTCACTCCTTGCCTCAAATGCTGGGTGTCATCGGCACTAGTGCCAACTGCAGCCTGTCTAGGAATGCGCTGGCTCACACCCTTAGTTTAATCACTTATTAATCATCCACAGAGGGGATGTGGCTCAGTGGCCTTGGCAAGGCCTCCCTGTCGACTTCCTGTTTGGAAGGCCCCGGCACTCCCCAAGAGTCCCTGTGGATAGGGCTGTCCCAGAGCACAGGCTGCTAGCTAGAAAATGGCTGCCACCACCTCCCAGGCTGTCCCATTGCCCCACAAAACTCTGTTCTTAAAAATTGAGATATAGGGCCCGGCCTGGTAGTTCACACGTATAATCCCAGCTATTAGGGAGGCAAAGATAAGAGGATTGTGGTTTGAGGCTGGTCTGGGCAAAAGCATGAGACCCTATCCAAAAAATAATTAAAGCAAAAAGGGCTGGCAGGGTAGCTCAAGTGGTAGAGCGCCTGCTCAGTGAGCACAAGGCTCCTAGTTCAAACCTTAGCACCACCAAAAAAAAAAAAGTGGACATGTAATTCAGTTTGCATAATGTCACACTTTTAAAGGTACTGAACTGAGTAGCTTTTAGAAGTATTTTCAGTGTTGTGTAGCCATCCTCTCTGTCTGGTTCCAGAACATTCTCAGCATCCCAACTAGAAGCTCTGTGCTCATAACCACTCCCTCCCCATCCTCCTTCCCCCAGCCCCTGGCAACCCGTCCTCAGCCTTCTGTCCTCTGGACATTTCATATCAATGGAATCGCACCACGTGCCTCTTGTCCCCACTTGCCTTGTGGCTGTGGAAAGGAAGAAGGCCCGCAGGCTGCCTGGTGGCTGGGCCATGTCTACCCTGCACAGACCTTAGGAGTTCAAAGGTCCTTAGAAGCTGTGCGTGGTGTTGTCTAGTGTGCCTATTTTCACAGCTTCTTGGGAGGCGCGAGGATCTCCTGAGCCCAGGAGCCAGCCTGGACAGCTTAAGGAGACCCCAGCTGGTGGAAAGATGAGAAATAGAACTGTATAAGGTCCTTAGAGAGCAAGCTGCATTCTCAGCACTTGACTCTCACCTTTCACCTGCACACATCTGAAATTAACTGCATTTCACAAGCGCGCTTAAAAGGGGTGCCTTTTCTTTAAGTGCTCTCTCAGGTGACCAGTGGCACTTCACACACCCGCTCTCTCCATGTAGAAAGCCCTGGGCGTCCCTGACAGTGAGGTTTGGTCCCCAGCCTCACAAAATCAAATTAGCTGGGCATGGAAGGGCACCACTGTAATTCCAGCACTTAGGAGCAGAGGCAGGAGGATCGAGAGTTCCAGGCCAGACTGGGGTCACATAATGAGACCCTATCCCAAAATCCCAAAATCCCGGCTACTCAGGAGGCAGTGATCAGGAGGATCGCAACTCACAGCCAGCCTGGGCAAATAGCTCACGGACCCCATCTCGAAAAAAACATCACAAAACAGGGCTGCTGGAGTGGCTCAAGGTGAAGGTCCTGAGTTCAAGCCCCAGTACCACACACACAAAAAAAGATGAGTGTTAACTAAGCTAAAATAAAGTAATGAAATAAAGGGGAACAAAGGCAATTGAGCTTCCTGCATTTCATTAGGTCTGCATCTCCAGGGGCCTCTGCAGAACATCTTGCACAGTTCTGCACTTGGAGGAGCCCGTCCTGTCCCACATGGGGACACAGAGGCCTACTGGAGATGGTCGAGTCTTCTGCCATTCACTTTATTAATATAAACAGCAGTGTCATCCATCAGATCTAAGAGACTCCCAGATGGAAGATCCACCATTGCAGTTGGTTCTCTGTATCCCCAGCTTCCACATCTGCAGTGTCAGTCAGCCACAGAGGAGCCAGCCACAAAGTCAACCAATCATGAATTGAAAATATAAATGCCTGTAATCCCATCATCAGGAGGCTGAGGCAGGAGGATCTTGAGTTCCAGGCCAAACTGGGCCACAGAGCCAGACCCTGTCTTAAAAAAAAAAAAAAAAAAATCAGTAGGGAAAATTGGATCTGCACTGAAGATCCCCTTTTTTCCCTTGTCATTACTCTCTAAATGATACAGTGTAACAGCTTTGTTTCCAGTGCTGGCCTCCTTTCAAGTATTAGCAGTCAAGTCTAGAGTTGTTAAAGTCTTCTGGAGGATGGGGCCTGTTCTCTGTAAGTAATGCACCATCACACCTGAGTGACTTGAACATCTGCAGATTTTGGCATCTTCAGGGGTCTTGGAAACAACAGTCCTGCATGGATTCCAGGCAATGCTATATTTTATCAGCTCCAAAGAAAGCGATCACAGCCCAACCTCAGCCTGCTGATGAAGTACAAGCCAGCTCAGAATGTCACCAACTGCACTGAGAACTTTAGGTCTTTTGTTTGTTTGTTTTTGACAATACTGGGGATTAAACTCAGGGCCTAGCTCTTGCTTTAGCCTTTCAGATAGGGTCTCACACTTTTGCCTGGGCAGCCTTAGACGGAGATCCTCCTGGCTTCACCTCTCTCGTAGCTGGGATTACAGAGTGGGTGTGAGCCACCACTCCTGGCCCAAGCTTTATGTCTTACACACCCTACAATCCTCACAAAGCAGTCACTTAGCTGTTATCTACCATCTCTTATTTTATAGGGAGGGTAAGATCAAGTTAGTGGTTCTCATTGGGGTGACACTGCCCTCAAGGGACATCTGTGGTTGTCATGTGCTCCTGACATGGAGTGGGTGGAGTTCAAGGCCATACTGCTCCACACTGTCGGGAGCAGGACACCCCCTAGAGAATGTGAACGTCCACTTCCTTTGCAACAGGTTTGCCGTAGAAGGGCCTTCAAGAGCCGGGTGAAAGCTGAGTATCGCCAACCATCCTCTCTTGTTCTCTCTTATGTGTGCCATTTTTCCCCGCACTCGAGGCCATGATACTTGGTGCGAGTGTCTTAGAGGTGGGAAACCCCCTTGCTGAAGTAATCTGACCCAGGGTCCATGGCTTTGCCCTGGAAGCAGGGGGAGCCTGAGCCATGGCCCAAGGCTGCCACCCAAGACCCCATCCCAATGCTGAGCAGGGCCCTCATTCTGGGGTTTTCCATTTTCTGCCCAGGGATGCCTTACGGCAGCCGTGAGAACTCGCTCCTCTACTCGGAGATCCCCAAGAAGGTCCGCAAAGAGGCCCTGCTACTGCTGTCCTGGAAGCAGATGCTGGACCACTTCCAGGTGAGCCACCTGCTCGCCATGCTTAGAGCTCTTATCCAAAGCATCTCTGCTTTCTGACTGCATGGCAGGGATGGGCAGCAGCAGGGATGAGACCCCCCAAGGCTAGCTAATGATGAGTGACCACTCCAAGTGGGTGCCTGAGTTAGTGCCCAGTGGAGGAAGGTGCCTTCTGCACTGGTGTGTTTATGACTTTTTGATGGTGAAAATAGTGCAAGGGTGGGCTGGGGGTGCAGCTCTTCGCTGCCCTAGCGTGTGCTGAGTCCTGGCTTCATCCCTAGCATTGGAAAAAAACAGAAAAGGGCCAGCAAATGTCACGCTCTGAGTCCATCTGGTCCAGTCCCGGGTTTGCATAGCTTTCCAGGAAGTGTGGGAGAATCTTGCTTTTGGTTCTGCTTCATAATTTAGTTGCATTTGTTTGGTGGGGTTATGGATGGAACCCAGCGTCTTACACATGCTAACTGCATGCTCCACCATTGAGCCACATCCCGGTCCCCATCTCCCTTTAAAACACACTCTGTGTGTGTTCCCTGGCCTTCACAATTCTCCTCAGCTGCTGGGACCCCTGGTGAGGCATTGGGGTTCGGGAGTCTTGAACTTGCACCTCTCCACCTTTGCAGGCAGTGAAGATATTTAGAGTAAGCTCCTGAAGTGGTGCAGGAGGGTGGGGATGCGTGGCACTGGTGCCAGGGACCAGGGACGAGGGCTGCCAAGAATCCAGAGGAACGGACTTCAGAAGGGGCAGATGGATGGGGCCCAAGTGGCTTGCTAGGCCAGCACGAGGCCCTTGAGTTCAATCCCTAGTGCTGCAAAACAGAAAAGCAGGGACGAAGCTTGGGTAGACCCCGGGAGCCTCCCCACCACCGCCTGGCATGCACCCTCTGGCTGCCTGTTGTGCACAGCACAGAAAGTTCTCCCAAGGTTGGCCCAGGCTGGAGGGGCACCATGACCTGAAGTTGACACTGTAGCCTCCCTGTGTTCACAGGCCACACCCCACCATGGGGTCTACTCCCGGGAGGAGGAGCTGCTTCGGGAGCGGAAGCGCCTGGGTGTCTTTGGCATCACCTCCTATGACTTCCACAGCGCCAGTGGCCTCTTCCTCTTCCAGGCCAGCAACAGCCTCTTTCACTGCCGTGATGGGGGCAAGAATGGCTTCATGGTGCGTGCTGGCCCAGGCCACAGGATGGGGGGCGTGGTGCGGGGTTGCCCCTGACCCAGCCTCTGTGCCCAGGTGTCTCCAATGAAGCCGTTGGAGATCAAGACCCAGTGCTCAGGGCCCCGAATGGACCCCAAAATCTGCCCTGCCGACCCTGCCTTCTTCTCCTTCATCAACAATAGCGACCTGTGGGTGGCCAACATTGAGACAGGCGAGGAGCGGCGCCTGACCTTTTGCCACCGGGGTAAGGCCAGCGTGCTGTGCTCCCACACATGGTACCTGAAGTGAAGCCAATCCAGCAGTTCTGTGCACATGTGGCTCTCTATCACAGCTGCCAGCCCAGCTTCTAGAAAGTCCCCACCCCTCCCAGGCCACTCTCCTCTGGGGACCCTCTATGGCTCTCCAACAGGGTCCCCCTGAGGAATCCTCCTACCACAGTGGTCTGCCCCCTCCCCTCCAGGCACTTGCATGCCCTGTTCATCCCTCCCCGCCTCCACTCACGTGGGGTACACACTAACCTCACCTGCCCCTATTCTGCCTCACCGTTTCCCACCCCTGTGGGTGTCTACGGGGCTCTCTGCACCATGGTGGGATACCTGTCCTCTAGCCCCAGACCCTGCTTTCTAAACCTGGACTTGGTGGGGTCCAGAGACATTGTTGGTCATCACACCTTGGGGAGTTAGCTCCTGGCATGGAGTGAGTGGAGGCCAGGGACACTGCTCAGTGCCCTGCTGTGTCCAGGATGCTCCCTGTCCCCAGAGAAATAACTGCCCAGTGTCCATAGCTTGAGGCCAAGGAGCCCCACTTTGTGCTTTTCTCTGGGTGCCTGCCTTGCATCTCATTGCTAAGAGGCCATGTGTATATCTCTCACCTGTGTGTCCCCTCTCTCCAGGATCATCCAATGTCCTGGATGACCCCAAATCTGCTGGTGTGGCCACCTTCGTCATCCAGGAAGAATTTGACCGCTTCACAGGCTGCTGGTGGTGCCCCACAGCCTCCTGGGAAGGTGGGTCCCTCTCCTGGGCACACACCTCTTCCCTGCCTGCCTTCCAGCCCAGCACCTTGCTACCCTTTGTACATGTCACTGAAATTCTCTCTTGGGTCTCAGTGCCAGTGCACAGGGAGCCCTAAGGACTGCAGCCATCCCTGTGTGAGTCCACAGGATCAGCACAGAACAGGACCAACTGTGGCCTCCCTCGCCACCCAGCCTGTCTTTCCTGCATGACTGTGATGTCTCTGGGGATGTCAGTGGCCATGAGATGACCCACTAGGCAGTGGGTTGAGAGCCCTTCTTGGGCTGAGAAGGGAGTGGGGCCTCGGGACTTCAGCATGGCCAAACAGGCTCCTCCTAAGCTGTCTCCACCATTGATTCCTTGAGTCATGTGAGCCCAGGGCCTCGCACGTGCTAGTCAAGTCACAGGGTAGCAGTATAAATGAGGTTAACTGCCCATGCTGCAGGAGGCTGCAAGTCTGACACTAAGGTGTGGTCAGGGCCAGTTCCTCCTGAGGCCTCTCCTTGGTTTACAGATGGTGTCTTTTCCATGTGCTCACATGGTCATCCCTCTGCACACACCTGTGTCCTAATCTCTCCTTATAGGGACTCTAGCCTGACTGGATTGGGCTACCCTCTGGCCCCATGAATCTTAATTGCTTTTTTCAAGGCCCTGTCTCCAAACATGGCCACTTTTTATGACCTCAGATTAGGATATGATTAGGATGTGACCCTTGTGGGTTCAGCAAATAATTGGGAAAGGAGTACTCCAGCAACACTTGTGGACCACCTTCTAGGGGTTGCTTCCTGCTGGGAGTTCCCATGGTACAAGTCATCCCTAAGAGGAGGCATGACTCACTTCCGGCCTGGCAAGTGTCATGGGCTCTGAGCTGCAGGCCCGGCACAGCACAAGTGGCAGGAAGTGTGGCAACAGCGAAGGCTGCCTCCTGACTCCTGGCCCCTCAGGATCTCCCCATTCCCTCCAAGGTTCTGAAGGCCTCAAGACACTGCGGATCCTGTATGAGGAGGTTGATGAGTCTGAGGTAGAGGTCATTCACGTCCCCTCACCCGCACTGGAGGAGAGGAAGACAGATTCGTACCGGTACCCCAGGACAGGTGAGGCCCCAGGACCAATGTGGGATGCTGCTCAAGGCCTCAGGGCTGTGGCTACCAAGGGACACCGCTGTGGGTCCTTGGGCACTTGTGTGCACATGCTGAGCACTCAACAGAAGCAGGAGCAGGTTTGCTAGGGGTATCACTTCCTCTTCTAGCCTGGCCTCGCCATCACAGAGCTTAGAGCCAGCAGGCTGTCTGGACAGAGCCACACACCAGACAGCCTCTGCTCCTGCCCAGCTCCACCATTGAGCACATAGCAGCACACACACAGCAAACCCAGTGCATGTGGCCGTGTGCCAGTAAACTTTATTAAAGTTAGCTGGCATGGTAGTACATGCCTATAGTCCCAGCTCTTGGGAGGCTGAGGAGGGATGGTTGCTTTAGCCCAGGAGTTCAAGGCCAGCTTGGACAACATCGATAGACCCCCAGATCAAAAACAAAACAAAACAAAATCTTCATTGAAGTTTGCATTGCAAATAATTCAGATTTGAAATACATGTCATTTTTACATCATGCAAAATGTTATTTTCATCTTTACTTATTTTTACCGTTTAAAAACATTAGGAAGCAAGGCATGGTGGTACATGTCTGTAATCCCAGCATTTTGGAGGAAGAGGCAGGAGGGTCTCAGTTCCCAGGCCAGCCTGGGCTACATAATGAGACCCTATTTAAGAAAAAAATAAAATAAAAATTTAAATTTTTAGCCATCCAAAATAAGGAGGCAGGATGCATTTGGCCTTCAGGCCACAGAACACCAACCCTGACACAGCTGGACAGGACTACATTCCACATGGTCACTTTGTCCCCATCGTTCCTCTTGCCTTCATTCCCCTTTGGGCTTCTTTGGTTACTCTTCTGAGCCAGAAGAGAGTGAGGCATCCACCAGGATGGTGCCTGGAGCAGAGCAGGGCCAGCCCCACAGCCCAGGGCAGCCAGCTCTGCCCAGGGGTAGAGACAAAGAACAAATGTAGACTGGCAATTCCTGGTCTTTACACGTTACTGGAGTTATTTCACAATAGCTGCTGAGCCTGGTTTGGTGGGACTACCCACCTGTAGTCCCAGAACCTGGGAGGCAGAGGCAAGAAGATCATGGGTTCTAAGCCAGACTGGGATACAGAGTAAGCCCCCATCTCAAAAATTAATAAGTAACAAGCAAGACCCCAGCCAAGCAAGACCTGTGCAGCTTGATTCAGCTTCAGGTCTCCAGCTCGGTCCTGCTTAGAAGATTGTGCAAGTGTCATTGTTGCTGGCACAGCAAGCCCTGCTCTGTGCTGGGCCAGATAGAGGCTTCCCACAGGTCATCTCCAGTCCCGTCTGCATCTGGGATAATCCGTCTTTGCCCCCTCATCTGACAGACCAGGAAAGTGAGGCTCAGAGGTCTTAGCTGCCCCAGGTTCAGAGCCCGGGGCCAGGATGAGACCTATCACACTAACTGAGAACATCAGTATCTTCCCCTAGTCACACCTGAGACCTCTTCCAGAGCCTGAGCTAAAAAGCCCCACCTCTCAGAAGTGTTGGTGATTGTCCCAGCCTGTGGCCACTGTCTTGTATGGGATGGTGACAAGTCCCATCCTTGCCACCAGCTCTTAGCTCTCCAGAGACCAGGATGGTCTGTGTGTCCCATTCCCCCTCCCCCTGCCTTGTACCCCTCAGTACAGTCCTGACCTGTGGTTTTTGTTTGTTTGTTTTTTGTGGTACTGGGACTTGAACTCAGGGCCTATACCTTAAACCACTCCACCAGCCCTTTTGTGTGTGTGTGGGGGGGGGGGGGTCGGTTTTTTTGAGATAGGGTCTCATGAACTATGTGCCCAGGCTGGTTTTGAACTGTGGTCCTCATGACCTCTGCTTCCTTAGTAGCTGGGATTGCAGGTGTGAGCTACCAAGCCCCGCTGACCTGTGCACTTAAGCGATAAAGCCGAAGGTCACACCCTTGTTGAGCATATGGCCTAGATCCCAGTCAGAACATCCCTCCCATGGGCTTTGTGCTATGCCAGGGAGATGGGCATGCCTGCACAGTGACCTTTGGCCACCTGCCTCTCCCCCCCGCCCCCCACCCCACGGTGCTGGCTGTGCCACCCCCGCATGGGCATCACCCCATGGTCTTTGGCTTGTGGTGCCGCCAGCCACGCGCTCAACTTCTTGTCTTTCTCACAGGCAGCAAGAATCCTAAGATCGCTCTGAAGCTGGCTGAATTCCAGACTGACAGCCAGGGCAAGGTAGGGGCCGGGCTCGCCCTGGACAGGGTGGGCAGGCGGGGCAGCCCAGCGCTCCCACTCGCCTCACTCCATGGCTTTCAGCCTTCGCCCCGCACTTGCCCAGCTGTGGCCAGGCACACTCGATGCACACTCTTGAGCATCGAGTGTGACACGGCAGTGCCAGTGCCAATGAACAGGCTTCAAGTGGAGGCCCCACAGAGGGGAAGCCTTAAGGACTGCCAGCCCGGGAGCGTGGTCACCTGCAGGCCCACAGCAGGGAACTCTGGGGGGCCGAGGTGCAAGGGTCTCCAAGCACACAGAAGCTGTGATGTGTCCCTACATCTTGGGCAGATCCCCATGGGTCACTTCACTATACCCATCAGCTGCCCAGGGATGGCAGCATCTGGATCTGTCGCTTTGTTTCCTCATCGGCGTTGCGTACAGGGGTTCTCATCACCCAGGATGTCACTATGCAGGGCTCACAGTCACAAGGTGGTGGATGGCAGCACAAGGCACCATGACCCCCTAGCTAAGTGGCCTCTGGCGAGTGCTCCCTGTGACCACACCCCTCTCGGCTGCCCCTCTTCACCCATTTGCTCTGCACTTCCTGGGGTCCCTGGAGAGGATCTCAAATCTCAAATTCCCCAAGACACAGAGGTTCCTGTGAAGTGGGGCCCCCTCCCATGAGAGCAACTCACATGTCCTAGCCAGAGAGGCCATGCCAAGCAGGGCACTGATTGCAGGGGTGCGGCGTCAGGGCAGAGAGTCTGTGCAGGCTTTTGCCAAAGCAACACCTGGTATGACTTTTTAGGGAAAACGTAAGATTGTAGTTCGGGGGGTTTTATTTTTGCCATATTAGGCCCTCACTCACCAAACGTCTTCTGCACTCTCACACAGAGCCTTCTAGAACATTATAGGCAGATTTGCTGAAAGCTTTACTTGTAGTCTGCAGCAGCCCACCCGTCTAAAATAGGGCTATTTTAGACAGTGGCTTGCCCTTTGGGATGTGCAGGATCCTGAGTGGTTCGTGGCTGCACCTGGCAGACAGGGAGCTGGTGACCACACAAGGGCAGGTCCTCCCTCCCTTTCTCCCTGCCATCCCCTGGGGGCTGCCCTGCCAACCCCAGTCAGGCTGGAACAAGGTAGGGTCAGCCCAGAACAGAACCTTTAACTTCCTAAACCAGCTGAGCCCCTCAATGATCTTGACTGGCTCTTCTGCCCCCATTGAGTGACTGCCATGGTCCTCTAGGGCTACCATAGCAAAGTGCCACAGATTGGCCGCTGAGACAACAGAAATGTCTTAGCTCAGATCAGAGGCTGGGAGTCCCAGACCAAGTTGTCAGCAGGGTTGCTTCCCTCTGAGGGTTGTGTGGGAGGCCCTGTCCCAGCTTCTCTCTGGGGTTTGCAGCTGGCATTTTCTCCCTGAGGATTCACAGGACAGTCTCCTGTGTGTCTGCATCTCTCCCCTTTACCAGGAGGCCACTCATGTTGGCTTAGGTCCTACCCAGTGTGACCTCATCTTAGCTCTTGACACCTGCAGTGGCTGAATTTTCAAAGCAGGTTGTGTTTTGAAGTTTGGGGGTGTCAGGACTCTGACCTCTGAATTTGGGGTGTGCCCATAGCCACTATCTCCTCCGTGCACAGAAAGGCAGAACATGATGTTAATGTGTCTCTCTGCAGATCGTCTCAGCCCAAGAGAAGGAGCTGGTGCAGCCCTTCAGCTCCCTCTTCCCCAAGGTGGAGTACATCGCCAGGGCCGGGTGGACACGGGACGGCAAATAGTGAGTGTTGCTGTGTAACACTGGGGACCCAGGGTAGGTGCCAGCACTGCCATCTGTGGCTTCTGGTAGGACCAACACCTGAAGACACCCCATCCCATGTCTCTGTTCCAAAGATTCCTCCCAACCTCAGCTTCAGAGAGGACAAGAGTTCTCAGTCCCTGTGTTCTTGGCACCAGGACGTTTTGACAAGTTTCACAAACTGGGACTCAAACCTCCAGAGGCAATCCCAGGCAGCTCCAGGCCCTAGGTTGTAAGAAACACTGAATCACAAAATAGGGGTGCCCCTTCTTACCTACTTTCCAACCTCCGGCCACACCCAGGACACATCTCTAACAGCACCTAGTGGTCACATTCAGATGCCGTCTTTTTTAGTGCAGCCCACATGCTAGGAGTGGCTTCTATGCTTTTAGATGATTGAGGTGAAAATCCAAAGATGACATCCTGGCCCAGGCTGGTCTGGAACTCATGGTCCTCCTGTACCTGCCTCCCGAGGGCTGCCTGTTCCAAAGAAGATTTTACCCCATTTGGCACTGATAGGAAATTCACATCTTAGCGTCCACAAATATGGACTATGACTGTGTGCCACGCCAGTCGGCCTCCTGGCCAGCAGGGCAGAGCTGGGCAGCTGGGAAGCTATGGTGTAGCCCCCCAGGGCCACAGATGTATACTGTACAGCCCTGTCTTACCAAAACCTAACCCCAGCATTTCCTACCTCTGGCTTCAGTCTCAGTGCCTGGCTACTCTTGGGTAGGATCAGGAGTTCTGGTCCTCATTCATTTTATCTCTGTCACTCTCTCTTTATGTAGAAGAAAAGCATTTCTATTTACAATACCACCCTGTCCATTATTAGATAAACTGAAAATTAAAAAAGAAAAAATTGTTCACTTAGGGGCTGGCAGAGTGGCTCAAGTGGTAGAGCACCTGCCTGGCAAGCATGAGGCCTTGAGTTCAAACCTCAGTATTCCCCACCCCCCAAAAAAAGTCCATTTAGGGTGAGCATGGTGGCCACACCTATGATCCTAGCCCTCAGGAGGCAGAGGCAGGGTCAAGAGTTCCAGGCCAGCCTGTGCTACAGAACAAGAGCCTGGCTCAAAAGAAAGAGAAAAAAAAATTGTCAATTTAAAACAAACCATAAATAAAGAATGGTACTTGCTGCTGAGGGGAAGCCCAGGGAAAGCTTGTCAGGTTTGCAGAGCCACCACAGTCTGCGTCACGTGGGACAGTGTTTCCAGAGCCTCCAGGTGATAGGTTTTCCTGACCCGCCTGAGAGTGCATCCAGTTAGGCTGCATGTGCATACTGAGGTGCCCTGGACTAGGGCAGGCGAGGTCGGCCTGGGAAGCAGGGCTCTGGTTCCACACAGGTTTGGAATGGGGCCACTGTCCACTGACTACTGAGGCATCTGCTTGCCTCTTCTCTTACCCTCCTAGTGCCTGGGCCATGTTCCTGGACCGGCCCCAGCAGCGGCTCCAGCTTGTCCTCCTGCCCCCCGCTCTGTTCATCCCAACTCCTGAGAGTGAGGAGCAGCGACTGGCCTTTGCCAGAGCCGTTCCCAAGGATGTCCAGCCACACGTGGTGTATGAGGAGGTCACCAATGTCTGGATCAATGTAAGAGGGCCCAAGGTCTGGGTGCTGTCCCTTCTGGCCCTGGAGTACCACGGTCTCCACCTGGGGCTGCCACAGCTGGCTTTGCCCTGTGGCCACGTGAGCTCAGGGCTGGCTTCTCACAACAGAGCTGCGTCCTCCTTCTGACGCCATGTCTCCTCTGCCCCACAGGTGCACGACATCTTCTACCCCTTCCCACAGGCACATGGCCAGGAGGAGTTCTGCTTCCTCCGCGCCAACGAGTGCAAGACTGGCTTCTGCCACCTGTACAAAGTCACTGTTCTCCTCAAGGCCAAAGGCTACGACTGGACGGAGCCGCTGAGCCCCAGGGAAGGTGAGCAGACCCACCGAGGCACCACTGACTTGGGAGCAGTCACCGGCGGGTCACCCCACTGACAGCCACAGTGGGAGAGGGGGCAGTGAGAGAGGAACAGCCACCACAGGTCATCCTCCAAGTGGCAGGGGTCACGATCATGGGAGTTTTTTCAGCCAATGGTATTTATGAGTGCCTATGATGCACCAGGCCCTTTGTACCACCAGAGTCCCGCAGCTTTCATGTTAGGTTTTGTTAGCTCACAGCCACAGACGGTCAGTTACAGAGTGCCTGTGGCTGTGTGTGTGCCCTAGCTGCAGAATCGAGCAGAGACACAGGACGTGCATCTCTTACAAAACCACAGCCGTCCCCTCCCTACCCTCCATAGATGTGGCCAGCCCCAACTCCAGATGGCCAGGGATATGGTGTGAAAAAGAAGCAAAGCTGGTATGGGAGGCTGACACAGGAGGATCATGAGTGCCAAGCCAGCCTAGGTTACTTAAGAACCTATCTCAAAAAAACCAATAAGCAGGAAGTCCCTGCTGTGTGGAAGGTCCTAGCACATGAGGCAGACAGTAATCCAAGAACAATTAAACATACTGGCTCAGGAGTGAGGTATATGCGGACATAGGAGGGAGTGAGGGGCTCCATTCAAAACAGGATCAAGTGTGAACAACAAGCCACCAAGCAGAGACATAGAGTTGTGGTGGGTAGGCACACAGCATGCTCCATGCAAAGATCCCGGGGCAGGATGGAGCCTGGCATGTTGGAGGAGCAGCGAGGAGGCCCTTATGACTAGAAGAGAAGGAGCGAGGGAGTCAGGGAGGCAACAGGGCAGGTCATGTGGGCACTGTGGGCTGGGAGAGGGCGTGGGCTTTGACGCTAAGAAAGCAGGAAGTAGTTGCTCTTGCACGGGTCTGAAATGACTCCTCTGTTTTCTGCATGACTGAGGCTGAGGGGCGAGGGCAGGTGACAGTCTAGCATTACAGCAGAGGACCTGAGCTGTCTGTCACAGTGGACAAGTCTACTTGGTGTGCTCTAAGGGCCAAGCCCACAGTGTTTGCCAACAGGGTATGTGGGGGCTCGGAGGGAGAGAGCGAAGGAGAAAGAGAGAAAGCCCAGGAGGTTTTGGGGGCACAGTCTAAGACAGAAAGTCCGTGAGAGGGCCTGATTTAGGGGAGAACCTAGTGTTTGAGTTGAGGTTCCCAGTAGCAGAAGTGCTCTCTCAGAAGAGACTCATGATGGAAGTGTGGGCATCGTCACAGCCAGGTGGCCTCTCGGCCCACCCAGAACTCAGCACTAAGGGCAGGCCTGGGAAGAGAGAATGTGTTGTCTGGGATCTAGCCCAGGGCTCCTCCGGGTTAGGACGGGCTCCACTTGGCACTGAGCATATGGGGCCAGATCTATCTCAGTGTCCTGCTGTCCTGGGTGCAGCAGGGCACTGAAGAGCATCCCTGGCCTCCACCCACTCCATGCCAGGAGCTCCCCAGTTGTGGAAGCCACACATGGCCCCAGACATCAGCCAGGGTCCTCTGGGACAGGTTATTTTGTGAAACCCACAGTTTAGAGGTAGTATCCACAAATGGGCTGTGACAGCTGCCAGCACAAGGGTCAGAGACCATGTGAGGGTGGCATCTAACTGGGCTGTGTCCCCAGCTGCCATGGAGCTGAGGGAGATGAGGCCCACGGTGTGCCTACTGACTCAGGCTGCAGCCTGCTCATCCCTTGGAGCTAGATACAGCATCACAGCATGATTTCCACGGAGAGCTTTCTGTGACTTGTCAGTGTGGGGGCTTTTGGTTTGTCTGGACATGGGGAGCTTTAATTTAAAAACTTACTGCTGGGGTATTGAACACCAGATGGCCTGAGAGAGCACACCAAGTGCCTGGTGTCTTGTGAAGTTGGTAGCAGCGCTGAGCAAGGCCTTAGGGTTTCTCGGTACGTCCTGGCTGCAGAGCCTGACGTGTCCAATCCTGCCTGGGCCGTGTTGTGACCAGCATGCCCAGCATGCACCTCCTGCCCCGCAGCTGGCACTACTGATGGCAGCCAGGCACTGAGCAGCCACACCCTGTGATGTGGGAACTGAGAGAACAGGCCAGGGCAAGGAGGGGAGGCCTGGCCCTGGCCATGCAGGGAGAGAGCTCTTCAGGGGTCTTGAAAACCCAGCTCAGCCTTTGCGTTAATGGAAGTCTGGCTCTGCAGAGTCCCAACCTGCCCTGTGAGGTCACAGCCTGAATCTGCAGGGAGCTGCTTGTCACACGTGGTGTAGACATAGGCACCACATGGCCTGGCCATGTATAAAGGGCTCTAGAATGAGGAAACCCCCATTAAAACCCAGATTCCTGGTTTTTCTTGAGAAACGCTGGGCCTGCCATGCACAAAGCAGAAACTGGACAGCAGGTCCTGTCCTGCACTGCACCTTGCACCCCACAGCTGTCCTGCCATCTCACTCGGGTAGAATGTGGCCTCAGGGCCCCTGGTCCCATCATCACATACTGGGCTCCAGTCACTGCCTCTTTCTTTTCTTTCTTGCAGATGAATTTAAGTGTCCCATCAAGGAGGAGATGGCGCTGACCAGCGGTGAATGGGAGGTTCTGGCGAGGCATGGCTCCAAGGTACCTTCCATGGGCCCTGCACACCTGTGGCTTTGCTCCTCCTCTCATGGCCATGCTGCCCCTCCTCACTGCTGGAATACCCAAGACCCAAGAGATAAAAGCCAGGGATCTCCAGACCCCCAAAAGATCTGTGTCTCTCAGGGAGGCTGAGGCCCCAGCCAGGGCCCAGTGGAAAGGACTGGCCTTCCTCAGTGCCTCCTGGTGTCAGGCTGTGTGGAACCAGCTATGCCAAGGTCTATTGGGACACTTGTGCCCACCCAAAGTTGAGCATGTCAGGTGTGGTCTATCACGCCCACTGCACGCCAGCCCTCGGAGGTTCTCAAACAAAAGGTGCTATCACACAACCTGAGCAGACCTGGACCCACACTGGTGTCCTCACCTGGGTCCAGTTATACAGATTCCACACTGGACACAGGGTGCCTTAGTCCACCCTCCTGGATCCCTACCTCACACCAACAACCTTCGGCCTCCTGGACCAAAGACTGAAGTGTAGCTAGCCTCTGGTAGCTCACTCCTGTAGTCCTAGGTACTTGAGAGACTGAGATCAGGAGGACTATGGTTTGAGGCCAGCCCAGGCAAGTAGTTGATGAGACCCCCATCTCCAAAATAACCAAAAACTAAATGTGCTCAAGTGGTAGAGCAGTGCTTTGCAAGCATAAAGCTCTGAGTTCAAACCCCGGTCCTACCAAAAAAAAAAAAAAAAAAACCAAAGTATAAAGAGCAGAATTCTATGATGGCCCGCGAGAACCATAAGTTAGCTTTGTTATAGATAGTGTGGGGGTGGAGAAGCCAACAAACCCAGACTGGAAGGACAAGGGAACCATAGTGACTTGGAAAACTGTCCCAGAATTGTGTCCAAAGATGAAATTGTCAGACTACAGCGTAATCCCCTTTCTGGACAATGTCATGTCCACATCTTCATAGGTGAAGTGTGAAGGTCAGAGGCTGTTGGCAGTCACTTACTCTCTTCTGCCCTGCTGTGATGGCAGCTGGGCCACGAGTCACCCTGGTTCACAGCCTGGCTCAGCCCTTGCTGCTGGGTGCTGTGTAGGACTCAGTTTTCCATGTACACACTGGGATGTGAGGTGGCGCTCACCCTTGCTGTGTATAGCAGTTGCTTCCCTGGGAAGTGTGGGCACTGGCTGGGTCATTCTCTGGGGCACCCTGGGCTCTGCAGGGCACTGGGCAGCATCCTGCTGTGTCACTGCTTCTCAGGAAGTCCAGTGACAGACACAGCGGCCCAGCAGTACATGTGCTTTGGGTTCCCACCAGCATCTTCCATCATCATCTAGCGGTGAGTTTTCACCGCTAGAAAACTCATGTGTAGAACATGCAGTCACCATCAGTGCGGAATACTTGTGAAAATGGATTTTCCACTAAGAAAATGGATTTTCCACTAAGAGTGGAGTTGGGGAGCCCGTGAGCCTGGCCCCGAGGGGACTTTGCTCCCTCCCCGTCTCCACAGGAGCAGCACCCTGCTCTAGGGATTCATAGGGTTTTCTGTGGACACAGCACAGTGCTGTCATTGTGGACAGTTATGGTTCATTTTTTGGGGGGGGTCTTAAAAACTTTGTAAAGAAACAAAAACCAAAACTTTGCAACTAGGCACAGTGGTTCACATAGGTCATCCAGCAGTCAGGAGGCTGAGATAGGAAGATCAGTAGTTCCAGGTCATCCTGGACTACATAGCCAGACCTTGTCTGAAAAAAAAAAAAAGAAAAAGGAAGGAAGGAAGAAGGAAGGATCACTTTGTACACCCTTGTCCTAGGCCCCATGGGTCAGAGACCTCCAGGGTGCTGGGTTGGCTCTACACAGTCTGTGACTATTCCAGCCCCATTTCCTCCCTGCCCAGGAGGCTACTCATCCTCAGATCCCTCATGCCACTCAGTGTCCTTGGCCTCTTAGGCCCTGGGCACAGGGCAGCACCCTCTCATCCATGTGCCGATTCCTTTTTGGGCCACCAGGCTGTCCCCTGTACTTCTGGGGTGGTTCTTGTCTAAGCATATGAAGAAGCTCTGGCTTCCTCCAGGCTGAACAGCCTGCCTGCTGTTCTGAGCAGTACTGGTGTCCTTCCTACTGTACCAGGGATGCCACCTAAGCCACACCAGGGCTTCCTAGGGGCCTGAGGGTCAGGCCAACCAGACTCAGGGCTGTGTGGCCCAAGGGCCCATAGTAGCCTCTCCCCTAGCCTCTGTCCAGGCTCTGATGTCCCAGGAGCTTTCGTGGGCAGTATGGTGAGAGGACTCAGAGTCACCAGGAACATCTCAGAGGCAGTACATGTCCCATGGTGGCTAAAGCCAGACTGGGCTAGGGGGTCCCCTGAGCCCAGGTGCTGGGCCCACTGGGAAAGGGCTGGACTCAGCCACCAGGGAAGGGGCTACTCACCAGAGCCCTGTTTCCCTGCAGATCTGGGTCAATGAGGAGACCAAGCTGGTTTACTTCCAAGGCACAAAGGACACACCACTGGAGCATCACCTCTATGTGGTCAGCTACGAGTCAGCCGGCGAGATTGTGCGCCTCACCACACTCGGTTTCTCTCACAGCTGCTCCATGAGCCAGGTGGGCAGCACCTGAGCTGGCCACTCGCCTCCTTCCCGGGGGAGGGGAGGGAGGGACATGTGACAGCCACTTGCCCATCTGCCGAGCCTTGGTGCCTCTGCTCTGTGGGATGTGGAATGCAGACCTTAGCCCTTTGGAATATTCTGGAACATCAGACAGTGGCCATGAGCTCACGGCCACTCATGAATGGAGCTCATGCTCCATTCCTGCCCAGGGCAGCAGTTGGTAGCCGTTGCCATCAGCAAGCCAGCAGGATCAGCAGGCCCATGTGGTGGCAAGCCCTGGGCCTGGCTGGGGACGGCCATCCCTCAGCCTCAGGTTCCAGGTGTGTGAGCCGAGCATTAGTAGCTGCAGGCGGGTGGCGCTGTGAGGCTGCTATAAGCTAGCCAGTGAGCATGTGGGAGGACACTGGTGGTGACAAGCAGGGTGTAGAGCAGGTAGCAGGGTACACCTGCACCGCGTGCTCAGCCCTGCCCGCCCCACCCCACCTCGCAGAGCTTCGACATGTTCATCAGCCATTACAGCAGCGTGAGCACGCCGCCCTGCGTGCATGTCTACAAGCTGAGCGGCCCTGAGGACGACCCGCTGCACAAGCAGCCCCGCTTCTGGGCCAGCATGATGGAGGCAGCCAGTGAGTAGTCCAGACCCCTCCCTGGGGACCTCAGCTCGCCCGTCTGTGACACAGGACGCTGCCATCACGGGTCAGAAGAAGCCTGGGTAGGTGGGAGGCAACAGCACGGGCCTGGGGCTCCGTCACGGAAACACTCTCCTCTGAGCCACAATAAAGGATGGGCCACGGGGGACTCAGCACAAACCACAGGGACAGGCATGAACAGCACCGTGTAGGCCAGCGGGAAGGGCACACAGACAGGATAGGCTTAGGGGCATACGTGCAGGTGGGACAGCAGTCCCCTCCACAGCCAGTACAAGACTTCATGGCTCTGGCATTTCTGTTCCTCCCTTCCTCCCCCCGCAGCACAGGCTACAGTGTGTGCAATGCGGCTGTTCTTGTGCCCAGAGGCAACCATCTGTGACAGTGCCTCACCAAGATGTCAGCCATGGTGATGGTGACAACTCCTTACAGGGGTTGGTCACCAGAGGGGCCTTGGAAACAAGAGGCCTTGTGGCAGTCTGTCCTGGACCATGAGGTCAGCCAGGACTCTGCACAGGCAGCCCTGGGTTTGAATTCTGCAGAGTCATAGGCCATCTGTCAGTCCATTGCCCTGTCCATACACGGAAACACACAGAATGGAACCCAAGTGCTCAACTTAGCGCCTGGTGTCCAGGATCTACTTAGGGAAGAGGGAACCCGAGCCAGGCCCAACCCTGCCTTGCTGGTGGTTTCCAGAGCATTCTAGAAAATCAGAACCGCTGCCAGCAAGGGCTTTGCTGTTGGCTAGAACATGTTTTCCCTGTCATCGTCATCTCTGGAGCATCAGTGGCTAGAAGGCCTTCCCCATCCACGAGATCTGTCCCTGCACCCCTGTCACCACTGGGACGGACCACGGTTTCATAGATGGGGAAACTGAGGCTAGGGAGGGAGAGTCCTTGCCAAGGCTCCCCACACAGCAGCAGGAACAGACAGGAGCAGATGCCCTGGGTATGCAGGAAGGTGAGTGAGGATCTGTTTCCCTGAAATCTAATCCATGCCAGCTTAGAAAGCCACCTGTGCTGGGAATGGGCGAACTGGAGCCAAAGCTGGCCACACAGTCACCTGAGTTGTCCATGGCTGCATTCGCTACAGCAACAGACATAAGAAGTTAGAAAACTAAGGCACGATGTCTGGCCCTGTACAGTAAACTTCTCCTGACTCCCAGGGCCCTATTACTACTGATGGTCCTTTAAACAAGCCTGCCCTGTTTACCCAAATAAGCATACCTCAAAAAACGCTGGCCAGTTGTGGAGACCACGCCTGAGATTCCAGCAGGCAGAGGCAGGAGGATCAGGAGTTCAGGCCACCCTAGGTTACACAGCCAGACTCTGGCTGAGAAAGAGGGAAGAGAGGAGGAAAGAAGGAAGGACCTTGGCGCCATTGTGTAGTTAGCTTTGCTTGGCAAGTCATTGGGAAGCTGGCAATGTGGAAGTTAGCAAGTGTCAAGGTTGTAGCCACACCGAGTGTGCATTCTCAGGGTGGGAGGAACGCTGGTGGGCACAAGCCTTCTCACCACAGAATTTGCGGTCTGTTTGTACTTACCCACCCTGGTGATATCCCCAGGAACCTGAGGTAGGATGCTCTCTGGCATCTTTTCTGGCCCTTTGACTCTGGTTTAAATGCTGGGAAAGGCCTGAAGAAGGGGGACATGCCAGGTCCCCCCTCTGAGGTGAGGCACAGAGTTGTGGTCACCTGATGAGGCAGCACGGCACCCTCCAGCCACGGGCCCTCAGTCCTCTGTCTCCCACAGGCTGTCCCCCAGACTATGTGCCTCCGGAAATCTTCCACTTCCACACGCGCTCCGATGTGAGGCTCTATGGCATGATCTATAAGCCGCATGCCCTGCAGCCAGGGAAGAAGCACCCCACCGTACTCTTTGTGTATGGGGGCCCCCAGGTATGTATGGCCTGACCCCTGCCCACCTCAGCCCATCTGGCACCCTTCAAGATTCTCACCACACCCTTGCCTCCTCGGCAGGTGCAGCTCGTGAACAACTCCTTCAAAGGGATCAAGTATTTGCGGCTCAACACACTGGCGTCTCTGGGCTATGCCGTGGTAGTGATTGATGGCCGAGGCTCATGTCAAAGAGGGCTTCGGTTCGAAGGAGCCCTGAAAAACCAAATGGTAAATTGTCTTCCCAGTCATTCCGGGCCCTTCTTGTGTTGTGAAGGGAGCTCTGGGCACCACCCATAGAAGGGCAGTCCTGCCAGGATGGCCGAGGGGAACACCCACTTTGCCGCTCAGCTCTGAGTGGGCCCCAATGTGGATACAGGTGCACGGCCACCCGCCATGCCTGACCACACAGCTGGGAGTGTGATACAGGCCAGGGCACAGGATCCCCAGGCGCTGGGCCACACAGATGGGTAGCACTAGATGCTGGGCTGATGGTGATGGTGACAATGTGTGATGGTTGTGGTGGTGTGATGATGGTGATTGTGGTGATGATAGTCCTGGGGGCGGTAGTGGTGGTGACTTTATGGTGATGATGGTGACGATGACGATGACTGGTGATGGTGGCAATGATGGTGGTGATGAGGACAGTGTTTTGCTGATGGCGATTTTCTCAGTTCATTTCCAATTCTATAGTTAGAAATGAGTATTTTCTGAGGCTGAGTATTTAATTTTCTTCTGTGGTGGCACTGGAGATTGAACTCAGGACCTCATGCTTGCTGGGAAAGCATGCTACCACTTGAGCCAGCCCTTGGGCTGGGTAATTTCTAAAGAACAGAAGTTTATATCATGGCTTTAGCAGTGGGAAGTCAGTTCATAGGGAGAAGACCCATTTTACAGTGGGCACAAGGACAAAGTGAGGTGGTGGGCATCCTGCAATCAGCCTGGCATTTGCAGGGTGATGAAGTCTGCCTGTGGCTATGACCCCTAGAGGGGAGGAACATGCACCAGGGGGAAGAAGTGGAAGGGACAAGCAAGAGACAAACTTGCTTCTTTCGAGCACCTCATTCATCATGAGGGAGCGCCCTTATGGCTTAACCCCTCCTAAAGGTCACATGTCTTCTTGTTGCCCAACGGAAATTGAGTCAGCATGAATTTTGGAGCAGACACCATTGTCCAATGCATACCAGTGGCAACAGCAGGATAGTGGTGACAAGGACAGTGATGATCCCAGCCTTAGCATGTGCCAGGCTGATTACAGGATGCCCACTGTGTCACTTTGTTCTTGTGCCCACTGTAAAATGGGTCTTCCCCCTATGAACAGCCCCCTTCAATGATAAGCAAACTGAGGCCCAGAGAGGAAGTGAGGCTTTCTCAAAGTCTCCCAGCTGGTGGGTGGCAGAGCAGGCTTGGGTCAGGTCTGTCTTGCCACTCCCCCAGGTTCCCCAAAAGAGCAGGCAGGCAGGTCTGAGTGGGGGTGGGAGAGACAGGAGCTTCCAAGAACTGATTCCATCAAGGAGGAAAAGCCTCCCATGGGGAGAGAGGAAAAGAGGAGGCCCTGAGAGTGTGTGGACTGTTGGCCAGGGCCAGGTGGAGATTGAAGATCAGGTGGAGGGCTTGCAGTTCGTGGCGGAGAAGTACGGCTTCATCGACCTGAGCCGCGTTGCCATCCACGGCTGGTCCTATGGAGGCTTCCTCTCACTCATGGGCCTGATCCACAAGCCCCAGGTGTTCAAGGTGGGTCCCGCCCCCTCAGCCCCAGCGCAGCCCCCCCATCCCTCTCCCATTGGCCCCACCCACCCACTGCCCACCTGCCCGCACCACAGAGCCCAAACCCTGGGGGAGGCACCTCGGCAGGGGCCTTGCCACGTGGCTGTTTCTCCCTGCAGCAGCCCCACGGGGCCGAGCCCCCTCCTCATTGCCCGCCACCGCCGACCCCAGGATGGCACCGGCTGCACAAAGCCCCACCAGCAGCTCTCTGTGGGAGGCTGAGCCTGGGACCCCGGCCTCGGATGGGCAGAGGTGGGGCATGGTGTGAAGAGCATTGGGGAGGGCCCAGGCCGGTGGCACTGTCAGGGCACTGTGGGGCTGCGGCCATGAGGAGGCGGAGGAGGCAGGAAGGCGGGACGGGCCCTCAGCACTGGGAGGGGCCTCCCTGCCCTCCCACAGCTCCTGCCTTCCCTGGAGCAACACACAGGCCATGGGGACATGCCTGAGGGCCCCCAGCCAGCCCTGACCCACCCACGTGCATGACTGCTTCTCACCCTCCAAGGAGGCCTGGGACAGCTGCAAGTGCTGGCTCCAGATCCGACGCCTCTCCCTCTTCCTCTCTCTCTTCCTCTCTCTCTTCCCTTCTATCCCTATGTCCTTCAGGTAGCCATTGCGGGTGCCCCAGTCACTGTCTGGATGGCCTATGACACAGGGTACACAGAGCGCTACATGGATGTGCCGGAAAACAACCAGCATGGCTACGAGGCGGGCTCTGTGGCCCTGCATGTGGAGAAGCTGCCCAATGAGTAAGGCCGCTGCCCTGCCCTGCCCTGCACACCCTCCCTCCCAGTACATGCCAGGCCTCTGCCCACGCACCATGGCCATGTGCCCCAGGCTGGCCCTCCATGAGTCTGTGCCTCTCCATTTCTCCATGCACCTAGTGTCCTCCTTCCCTGAGCCCTCCTGCTTCACTGTGCCTTGCTGGAGTGGGCACTCAGGGCCCTGCCCTACCTCAGAAGGTGGGAGGAAGGAAAGAATTAGAGTCAAGGCCAGGTACCAGTGGCTCAGGCCTGTAATCCTAGCTACTTTGGAGGCTGAGACCAGGATGATCTCAGCCTGGTTCAAGGCCAGCCTGGGCAAATAGTTCATGACACACTGATCTCCAAAGTATCCAGAGCAATATGGACTGGGGGTGTGGCTCAAGTAGTAGAGCACCTGCTTTGCAAGCATGAAACCCCAGTTCCACCAAAGGAAAAAATATATATATATACATACATACATACATGTATGCGGATGGCCGGATGGATTGGAGTGAAGTCACTCGCCCCACCCCGCTTCCCGCCTTCCCAGAATGGCTTGCCTGCAAGTTTTAACTGTCAAGAGAGTTCATGCCGAACCACAGGCAGTTGGTCTTGACCCCGAATGCCCTGTGTTGTGGGCACTAACACTGTTGACACTGGGATATGTACCAGGTGACAGCCTCGGATCCCAGGGCAACTCAATGTTCTGTTCATTCTTTGGGGTTGGTTCCTTCTCTGACTGAGAGAAAGTAGCACTGGCATTTTCTGGTGTGTCCCCATCTGGCTAATGTCTCAGGGTCCCATGTGGCCACCTGGGGCTGGGAGTTCCACCTGGCACCTTCCCCAAGATTCACTCTTTGCCTGGGAAGACCTGGCTCCCCCGCAATGCTAACATGTAGCCAACCTGGAGTCCCCCTCTTGACCTGGGCTGCCCACATGGGCTCCTATGTTCCATGCGTTCAGGTTCACTGAACTGACCAGTCATGGAGTCCAAGCACACCTTCGTTGCTGCCAGGGGTTAGGGCGAGGCTGATAGTAGGAATAGATCTCACTCTGGAACTAGAGAGAAAGGGTGGTACACATACATCATGGCGAAATCACTCACTTCGGTTACCTTTCGGTTACTAGGCTACCTTTTAGGCAAGTGATTGTCCCCTCAGTAAACTGTCTTATAAAATTGAAAAAAATGAGAAAATTCACTTCCTTAGTCACTCCCACTTTTTATATGTTCTGTAGCTGTGGGTGGCTACAGCTGTGGGTGGTGATGGTGAAGGTTCTAGAACATTCTGTCATCCCAGAGTGCCGAGGAGTGGGCTTCTTTCCCCTGATTTCTGTTATCTTGCCACCACCCTGGCACTGGGAGACACTGAGCTGGGGCACCTTACTGCCCTCCCTGTGGCTTCCACAAGTGATCCCTGCCTCATGCCCCTGCCCACCTTCTCTTCTAGGCCCAATCGGCTGCTCATCCTCCACGGGTTCCTGGACGAGAACGTGCACTTCTTCCACACCAACTTCCTTGTCTCCCAGCTGATCCGGGCAGGGAAGCCCTATCAACTCCAGGTGAGCCCACCGCCCTCAAGGGTCCCACGTGTATTCACTCAGCACTGCAAGTCCAGACTGCCTTCAATGCTAGGAGCATGGCCGGACCCTCCTACAGCCCAGCTACAGTGGGGAGAGGCTTGTGCCCAGAATGACCACACAGACTGACATCTCATCTGACACTGAGACACGCTGGGAGGACACCATTAGATGCTACAAGCCTGAGGTGTTGCTTATTGCCAAGGGCTCGGGGGACCCCAGATGAAATCCCTGGGGAGGGGGCACCCAGCAGTGGGGCCACTGGGCAACTGTAATGTGTAGGAGGCAAAGGCTTGAGGACAGGAGACCCAGCAACTGGGGCCAGCTCAGGAGTAGGGGATGGGGCAAGCAGGGCAGAGAGAGACTGGGCATGGCAAGGAGGTGGACTCTCAGTGATAAATGGTGGACCTGGGAGGCGGGTGGGGCTTCTGCAGTAAAGCGTGGTCCTCAGTGGTTAGGGAGTGGGGCTTTGGCAGAAAGGGGTCGTCTCCATGAGGGGCAGGGCTTCTCTTTCTGGGGAGTGTCCTGTTGCCATTCAGCAGATGGGGGAAAAAGGGTCACAGAGTGAGAGGGGCAGGCTTCTGCTGCCTGTGGCCTGACAGGAGCAGCCATGCTGGGCAGGCATACAGGAGAGAGGCAGGGTTCCTCGTGAAGAGCTGGTGGACACCTACCCCACTGTGAGCAGCCCCAGGGCATGTGCCAGTTTTGGTGACAGGTTGTAAGTCTTTGCAGAGGTCTGGGTGGGAGGTCATACCCTCAGACTTGGATTTGCTTAGGGACGGATTGACAAAGGCAAAGGAAGAGGAGAGGCAGTTTGGTGCTTTCTCAGTGTGATGGACCTGGGTGGTGATTCTAGGCCTGGCGAGATGTTCAGAAACCCATCTCCCTGGGTGGGAGGAGGCAAGGAGTAGGCACCTAGCCCTACTGCCTGCCAGCCTGAGCGGGACCACAGCCAAGTCCTCAGAGAAAGTCTGGGACTGTTTCACCCCTGTTGCTCCAGTCCTGGGGGCAACAGGGGGCTCTTTGGGAGACTGGCTTCCTAACTGGAAGCAAGGCCAGTGCCCTGGCTCCATCCACTCAAGGGCCTGGACATTGGCCACGCCAGGTCTCATGGGCCAGGAGAGTGTGGCCTGTGACACCACTGTGTCTCTGCCTTCTCCCAGCCAGATCCTCCCACAAAGCCTGAGGTAGGCCACCTTGGAGCCTGGAGCTGAGCACAAGCTCATTTGGTAAAATCAGGTGGCTGAGTCCCGAGGTCACAGCCTCCACCCAGTGATTGTCACACCTCAGGGGGCTCAGGAGGAAGCAGCTAAGACTCTCGCATACCTTTCACAGGTCCCATACAGCCTGTTGTCCTGAGCCCTCTAAGACCCCCACGTCCCAACTCCACCCCACTTTCAAGAGGGCCGAGTTGCACACGTGGTGGCAGAAGCGGGACCCGCAGTGCCTCAGTACCACTCGGGGACGCCGGGGGGGGGAGGGGGCACAGTGTCCCGACACGCCCCCAGTCTGCCCTGTCTTCCGCAGATCTACCCCAACGAGAGACACAGTATTCGCTGCCCCGAGTCGGGCGAGCACTACGAAGTCACCCTGCTGCACTTTCTACAAGAGTACCTCTGACGCCCGCGGGGCGCCTGGAGCCTTCACAGCACAGCACAACTGGCTTCGTGGCCGCCACCCCGGGGACCAGGCGGGAGGGACCAGGCGGCCCTGCAGGCTGCCACGAGGTGCCTCCTTCATCATCCCTGCTGGGCAGCCCTGCGGCCAAGAGGCCACTGCCTTCACCCCAACGCCTTTGGTCTTTTTTGACGCTCCTGGTTTCTTTGCTTGCTGCTTCTTGGTTGCCAGGACAGAGAGACAGTGGCCAGTCTCCTTGAGGCACTGCCTTGTGCCATCCCCTCCTTGCCTCGTCGTCTGGGAGGTGGGGCCCCCCCCACCCCACTGGAAAGGCCAGGGTTTGGGTGCCTCGGCAAAAAGTGATTAGAGGAGCTGGGCCTGGAAATCGCCCGGCCACAGCCCTGAGCGCCCTCCTCCTGTGTCTCCCGATGGCCTCTAGGTCTCCTGCCCCTGCCAGCCACCGTCCCCAGCACAGGAGCATGCGATGCCTGTCCTCCCTGCCAGCCCCACTTCATACTCGTGTTGTGTCTTAGGGGCATTTTAAATAATTATTTAAAAGACAAAGCAAGGGATGCCTAAATCTGGAGTCGGAGTCCACCACTGGGACCGGGCAGCGGGGTTCAGCCCAGCACCTGCAGGCCCCATGTGTTCCAAAGCGCAGATTGGACAGTGGAGAGCAGAACTGGGCCAGCAGGAGTAGTGGTCAGGGCTTGCAGGCAATGCCTGTGGATGGAGGGCAGCCCTGTGTCATCCCCCTCCCCGTCCCCGAGCTTGCAGGCAGGCATTGCTTCCTGCTGTCCCCCTTCCTCCTCCTGCCTAGCTGTCCAGCCAGGTGTCTGCTTGGCCCTACCTGCAGGTGTTCTAGGATTGGGAGTTGAACTGTCCCCACCTCAGGCTCACCCCCTCTCTCTCCCTTCCTGCCAAGAGTTCGGGCATAAAGAAGTAAGAAAAGAAGAAAGAAAAGGAAAAAAAAAAAAAAAACCAGAAACAAAACACCTCTACATATTATGGAAAGAAACTATTTTTGTCGATTCTTATTCTTTTATAATTATGCGTGTAAGACGTAGACTCATTAAACAACTCCACATGGACGCGGCCGTCTGCCTGAGGCTCCTTCTAGCTCCTGGGCTCCCGAGTGGGAGGGGGCTCTCGGGGCTCACAGCAGACACAGTGAACAATGGTTTGTCTTGGCAGTCCAGGTTCAGGGCTGCCCTGGCACACATGGGAGGTGTGACCCAGGCCCAGCTGGAAGCTGCCCACCCCCATAAGAATGGCCCAGAAAGCGCAATCTTGGTGCTGACCAGAGCAGTTCGTGGTTTTGTTGTTTTTTCTTTTTTTTTTTTTGCGGTACTGGAGTTTGAACTCAAGGCCTACACCTAGAGCCATTCCACCAGCCCCTTTTTTGTGAAGAGTTTTTTTCCAGATAGGGTCTCTCGAACTATCTGCCTAGGCTGGCTTTGAACAGCGATCTTCCTGATCTCTGCCTCTTGAGTAGCTGGGATTGCATGTGTGAGCCATCGGCACACAGTTCTCAAAAGGCTTTGCTCTGCTCCCAGTATCAAAAAATACCGCACAGATAGGATATGCTGCTCCTTTCTGCGTGTTTGTCCCCACAGCCACAACACCAAAGCATTCAATCTCGTTACTAACAACAGGGGTGGGGCAGGCCACCCTGCTTCTCCCCCTCCAGCCTTTGGGATACTCCACTCTCCTAAAAAATGAGGGGGGAAAAAAGAAAGAAAAACTCAATGCCAGCGGGACATTTAGAGGAAAGCCACCTGTCTCCCAGCGGGGCCCACCACCTCTCACACACCTTTCTGTGGACCCCATGGCACAAAATCCTGCCCACAGGGAGGTAGCCCTGTGTTCAGCTGGGCCTTGATCCTCACTTACCTGGGTTGTTGGCCTTCCTGTGCTGGAGTTTCCTTATTCTGCTAGGAGCTCTGATTGGCTTTCCAGTCCTCTATCAAGGACTATATCATAGGCTATTCTGGATTTTTTCTTAGTATAAGGAAAGTGCTCCACAGTAAATATTTGTAACTGTGTGGACCACTCTGTGGAAACTAGTCAGCTGCTCTTGTAGAACAAAGGCAGCTGTAAATAAAGTGTAAATGAATGGGCATGCTGTGTGCCAATAAAACTTTATTTATAAAACCAGGCAGCCAGCCAGAGGCGGCCCATAGGCCACACCTAGCTAACCCCTGATGTAAATAAGCCTGCAACAAATAGCTTTGTACAAGTCTTGGGCATGTATGTGAGTTTATGGATGACGTCCTAACGGGCACATTCAGGCTCTGGGGCTGGACCTCAGTTGGTGAGCGCATGCCTAACGTGCAAGGCTCTGCTAGGGTTCCATCTCCAGCACCACAAAAAAAAAAAAAAAAGCTACAAAAATATTGCCAAATTGCCTTTCAAAGTACACTCCCACCAAAAGAGACAGGCTAACCTGTTTCCCCATTCCTTTGCCAGTGCTACATGTTATCAGATAGTTTTCTTTGCCAATCTTTCAAGTGAAATTCTACATCTCTAATTGGAATTCCTATTTCTCTTATGCATGGAGAGCTTTCCATGTGTGGTTTTTTTTTTTTTTTTGGCAGGACTGTGGTGTTTGAACTCAGGGCTTTGCACTTGCAAAGCTGGTACTCTGCACTATAAAATTGGGGGAAGGGGAGGGTCACAGTGTTCACGGAAGAAGACAATATGACAGATGACTTGTGGAAAGGGGGGTGGGTGCTGGGTTATTCAGAAGGCTTGGCAGCTGGAAGCCTGCTGCTTACATTGACCCCCCCACCCCCAGTCAATGTCACAAGATGGCAGCCATCTGCCACACCTCAGTGGGTCACATTCCTACAGAATGGCAGGGAGAAGGCAGGAGCGGATGACAGCTGGCCCATGTTTCTCTGTCACGGCAGGGATCCCATGGGCAGAAGGGGCCCTCTGTTCCCTCATACTCTTAATCCTCCCACTTAGAAGTGCAGTGTATTCTGTGAGAGGCAAGAACCCAGGTGTGACTGACATAATCCCTGTGTGTGATCCCTTGCAGACACTCTCCAGGTTTGTCACTTGCCTTTCAAACATGTTTGTTATTAAGGAAAAAAAAAACAGATGTAGGGACGGGGATGTGGCTCACAGGTAGAGCACTTGCCTAGCAGCACAAGGTACTGGGTTCCTCCCCAGCCTGACAAAGAGGAAAAAACTCCACAGGACATTGCAAAAATAGCACAAAAAAAAAAAAAAATCCACTGCACCCTTCACTCAGCTTCCCTGTGTCTGTGTCTTTCCCTATCACGGTACATTGTCATCACCCGGACAGTAATTTTGGTGGGATATAATTAACTAATGAGAATCTGGACCTTACTTGGATTTTTCCAGATTTTGCACTCACAAAAAAAAAAAAAAGGGCTGGTGGAGTGGCTCAAGTGGTAGAGCGCCTGCCTAGCAAGCATGAAGCCCTGAGTTCAAACCCCAGTACCACCAAAAAAAAAAGGAAGGCTGGGGCATGGCTTAAGTGGTAGAACACCTGCCCTGCAGCAAGTGCAAGGCCCTTAGATCAAAACCCAGTAATGCTAAACAAAATTTTTTTTCTTCCATGCTGGGGATGGAACCCAGGGCCTTTGCACATGCTATATGAATGCTCACCACTGAGCTGCACCCCAAGAAAAAAAATTTTAATGAACATTTTATTTATTTGCAATACTGGGGCTTGAACTCAGGTTCCACACCTTGAGCCACTCCACCAGCCCTTTTTCCAGATAGGGTCTCAGGAACTATTTGCCCGGGCCCGGCTTCGAACCACGATCCTGCTGATCTCTGCCTCCTGAGTAGTTGAAATTACAGGTGTGAGCCACCAGCGCCCCGCTTAATGAGCATTTTAGGTTGCAGTCATTTTCATCTGAAAACAATTTCCACGATGCAGACCAAAAAAAAAATTTATATCTGGCAATTCCCTCATTTAAATCTCCAAGGTGTCCCTGTATGACGACAGCCAAACGTTTGAAGAAGTATTATGTAAAAGACAAAACAGGCAGGAGATGCATTATAAATGTAAGAATTTATTTGTCCACTTTCATTACAAAAATGGCACGGAAACAGATTTTAAATGAAAAGTCGGAGTCCCTTCTGCGTCTCCCACACTAATTTTGAGCCTGCGTCGAAAGTCCTCGACCAGTTTCCCCCATTCGTTCCACAAGAACCAATCGGAAGAGCCCCAACATGGCGGCCCGGTTGCGAAAGGGGCGGTGCTTAAAGGTCACGTGACGGCGCGGATGCTGACGTGGTCTGCAAAACGCGCCCCGCGTGTCCCTCGCAGCACCCCGTCCGCGCGCCCCCGCCCAGAGCCCCGATCCCAAGATGGCAGCGCCCAGCAAGAGGACTGGCGTTGGCGGCGGCGGCGCGGGCTGTTGGGTCGCGCTGTTCCTGGCGGCCGTGGCGCTGAGGCCGGCGGGCGCTGTGTCCGAGCCCACGACGGTGGCGTTCGACGTGCGGCCCGGCGGCGTCGAGCACTCCTTCTCCCAGAACGTGGGCCCGGGGGTACGCGCCGCCATCGCCGTCCCGGACGCTCGAGGGGACGGCTGCCGGCGGGGGGCGGGGCCGGCGAGGGTCCCTGACCTGCGGGGTGGGGTGGGCGTAGGGAGGACTGAGCTGCTGGGGGCCCCGTGGGGACTGGCCACTCCGAAGGGGCGTCCTCAGCCCTGTCACCTGTCACCTTCCCGCAGCGTCCTGGCCTGGGGTCAGCCACTGAATCCTTCCGAGGAGGAAGTGCACCTCCTTTCCTGGCGCCCCGCCCGCGCCTTTTTTCTTCTTTTGTTTTATTTTGTTTCGTTTTGAGACACTGGGGTTTGAACTCACGGCCTGGCGCCTGCCGGGCAGGCACTCCCACCACTTGAGCCACTTTGGCTTTAGCCATTTTTTGGAGAGATTCTTGGGCTTTTACCTGAGCTCCCTTTGACTGAGCTCCTCCTACTTATGCCTCCTTAGTAGCTGGGATTACACCCGGCTTCTACCTTGCCCCGCTTGTTGTTTCAGATGGGTGTGGTGAGCTTTTTGCCTGGGCTGGCCTCACCCTCCATTCTCCCGATTTCCACCTCCCAGATAGCTGAGCCACTGCACCTGTCCTAGTCTGAGTTCTTGACACTTCAAGGCCAGGCCCTCCTTACCTGGAGCCTCCAGGTCTGTGGGTAGCCTAGCTCTGATCCCACATTGTCGGAAACTTTCCCTGCCCTGCATGTACTAACTGTACCAATAGTTTCCATTTGTTAAGAACTTCCTCCTAGCCAAGGTGTGTCAAGTGCTTTATACGTTAAGCCCATGTTAACATGTGGCAGAGTACAGGCCCAGAAGGTTTTTGCTTGTCCAGCACTTCCCTCTTTCTGTCTTTGCTCCCAAAGTTGGTGTTCTGGAGGGGTGACTGCTGGAAGGAGTGTTTCCTTACAGAGAAGGGACATGGATTGCCCACTGGAAGGAAGGGAGTCAGTCTGGGTACCTGCAGGTCTGCAGCCACGAGGTCACTGTGCAGAGCCTTTCCGTCCTCAGGATTACCTCCTACCAAGCCTTTTCCTACCTTCTCTTCTCCAGGACAAATTCACGTGCACGTTCACCTACGCATCCCAGGCGGCACCAACGAGGTGAGTGGTTCAGAAAAGATACTGTTACCGGGGGTAGCGGAGTTGGGTTGAATGATGGAAGTCGGCTCTTTACTCTTGGAGAACCGAGGCAGTTATCTTCTAGGCTATTTTCTCCAGCTGACCTGGAAAGAAAAACTACATGGTTAGGTGGCAGGACATGGTGTACCGATCCTGGACTTGTGGGGACCATGGTAAGGAGTGCAGGTAGCCTCTGGAGCTGAGTGCTCCTTCAGGGCACTGGATTCTGCCACAACTACATGAGTTTGGTCAAGGATGGATGACAACCTTGGCCTTCACCAGGGTTTTCACCTTGTGAGGCCGAGCAAAGCACCCAGCACACCCGGTCCTGACCTCTGACTTACAGAACTGAGCTAATAAATGAGTGCACTGCTGTTTTGGTTTTTTGAGACAGAGTTTCACTAAGTAGCCAAGACTGTCTTGGAACTCCAAATCCTCCTGCCTCCCCCTCCTGAGTGCTGAGATAATAGGCATGAACTAACACACCCAGCTTTAGTGTGGTTTGGTGGGTTTTTTTTTTTTTTTTTTTTTTGGTTGTATTTGGGTTTGAACTCAGGGCTTCACACTTGCATGGCAAGTGCTGTACTGCTTGAGCCACACCTGCAACCCTTTTTGGAAATGGGGTCTTGCTTTTTGCTCAGGGTGAACCTTGCTGGTCCTATTTTATGCTTGTTGCTGTTCCTGGGATGACAAGATAGTACCACCATGACCAGCTATTGGTTGAGATGGGGTCTTGCAAACTCTTTTAGCCAACTGGCCTCAAACCATGATCCTCCTGGTCTCAGCCTCTCAAATACCTAGGATTGAAGGTGTGAGCCACTGTACTCAGCTGGATGTGAGGGTGTGATTCTTTTTTTTCTGGGACCGGGGTTTGAACTCAGAGCTTTGCACTTGCAAAGCAGGAGTGCTACAGCTTGTGCCATACCTCCAGTCCATTTTGCTCTGGTTATTCTGTTTGTTTTTGTGGTGCTAGGGATTGAACCAAGAGCCTAAAGAACGCCAGCAGGCGCTCTACCACTGAGCCTCATCCCTAAACCTTGCTCTGGTTATTTTGGAGATGGGGTCTTGGAAACTATTTGGCAGGGCTGGCCTGGAACCTCGATCGTTCTGATCTCAGCCTTCCTAGTAGCTGAGATGACAGGCGTGAGGCACTGGCGCTCAGCTTGGTGTGATTCTTGTATAGCTAAATTTGCAGTAATTTGCTCCACAGTGTAGCGGGTTGAATGATGGCTCCCAAAATATGTCTGTACCCTGCCTCCCAGAACATCTGAGTGACATGTAGAAAAAGTGTCTTGGCAAATGCAATTAAATGTCCAGGACTTCATGAAGACATCATCCTGGAGTGTGCAGCTGGGCCCCAAATCCACAGATACACAGTGGCCATTTGCTTGATGGAAGAGGACACAGCCATGAAAAGCTGGTGGCAGAGACTGGAGGGACAGGGCCACAGCCAACAGAGGCCTGCAGCCACCAGAAGGCAGAAGAGACCATCCCTAGAGCCTTGGGAGAGAGCACAAGCCCGCCCACAGCTTGATCCTGACTTCCAGCTTGCAGAGTCTTGACAGAACAACGTTCCATTGCTTTGAGGCACCAGCATGGGGTGATTTGTGACAGCAGCCACAGGCCCACACTTTCCAAGGCCCTGGGGAGTGAAAGCCTTTTCTTCGTTCCAGCTGAGCACTCTGTGGAGGAGAGCATTGGAGTCCCATGGAGGCAGGGCAGACTGCTCACAGTGACAGGGAAGGAGAGCAGAAGGAAGAGGACTGGGGCCAGAGAATGCAGGACAGGCATCGTGCATCCTCCCCACACTCACGTCAGGACAGTCCCCAGCCCTGTGTGTTACCACAGCCTGGTCAGGAGTGGGGAACCATGGTGCTCAGACCAGAGCCCTCCCCCAAGCGACTTCCTCCTCCTCTCCTGGTCAGAAAAGCTCTTGGATAAAGTGTCAGACTAGCACTGGAGACTCCAGGCCAGCTCGTTCTGTGTGGGGTGTCTTGGGCCCAGAAGAGCATTAAGGATAAGCAGTGTCCCGGCCTCCACTCATTCCGTGACAGGAGTGCCCCAGTCAAGACAGCTACTGGGACCCAGCCGCAGTCACTCAGCCTGCTGGTGTCAGGCAGCATCAGGCACTGGAGAGACGTAGTGACTTCCAACCTTTGTGCAGGTGAACATGCCAATCCACGGCAGAGCCTATCTGTGTAGCCACACTGGAGAACGTCAGGCGTCTCGGAGTTAGTGCACAGCCCTGTGCAGCACAGCAGTGCCACTCCTGTCTGCTTCACCCAGTTCTAGCAATTCATATCTGTGACAGCTGACAAATGAAATGACCCAGAAGGCCATCCCCAGAGGAATAGATGCACACAGCATGGTCCATCCATTTAATGAAATACCACTCAGCCATGAACAGGATGAGGCTCTGACCTACACCACAGCATGGAAGGACCTTGAGGACACGGTGCTCAGTGAGAGAAGCAGACACACAAGGCCCCACAGCGTGGCTCCATTGATAGGAAACGTCCAGAACAGGAGAGTACACAGACAGGAGGTGGACTCGTGGGGGCTGGGGACTGGGGAGGGCATGAGTGACGGCTTGTGGTGACAGGATTTCCTTTTTGGGTAATGGAACCAGATGGTGGTGAGGGCTGCACACCTCTGAATATATTACAAATTGCATCTTAAGAGAGTGGATTGTGTAGGGGAGGCAGACTTTTACCTTTATACTTTTAGGGTTTGGGGGATTTGGCCATGCGTGAGAACTCAGTTGACACATGAAAAATCAGTATGAGGCCAGGACAAGCCCAGCACAGTGGCCATGTCTGTGATCCCAGCACGTGGGAGGGGAGACAGAAGGACCACAAGTGCCTGGCCAGCCTGTGCTGCTTAGCCCGGCCCTGTCTCAGAACACCCTTGTCCGCTGTTATTTACACGTTCTCTTGTTTTGTTCTGTGGCGCTGGGGATCCAGCCCCAGGCTTCATACAGGCTAAGCCAGCCACACCCAGCCTTCATCCCAAAAGCTGTTCATGTCCGTGGGGTTTTGCTGTGTCAGTATTCCGCTCGTCTTTAAGAACCCTTTAAGAGGACTGGGGGAGCAGCTCAAGTGGTAGAGTGCCTGCCTAGCAAGCGTGAAGCCCTGAATTCAAACTCCAGTGCCACCAAAAAAAAAAAAAAAAAAAGTGAATCCTTTAAGGAAAGCTCCCCTGCAGCGCTCGCAGGAGAGTCTGTTCTGTTTTTGCCTGTCCAGCGACTCCAGAGCCATGGAGGTGTTTTAGAGTAGAACAAAATTGCTGAATCGGTAGCATTGGCAGGGCTGCGCCTTGTCAACCTGAGTGTGACTGGTGCCGTGTCTGTTAGCGAAGACACACTGCATGTCAGCCACTTGACACACAAATGGCCTCATTTCTATGAGTGGAAAAGCGCCAACGTTAATCCAGGAAGACCGGGAACTGGAGGCCTTTGTGACTCTTGAGAGAGGACCATAAGCTTTTTTTCAATAATGTGCAACTTTTGTTTTCCTCAATGGTGAGAAGCAGGAGAATAGCGGGGAAGCCGTGCTCCAGCTGAGGTACACTGATGGCTGTCCTCAGAGCTGTGCCTCCACCAGGTGCTGCAGCAGGCTCTGCAGAGCCTGTCCTGTTGCGTCCCCGCTGAGTGTCTGGCAGTCCACCCGGGATTCCACGTGTCCTCCTTCCTTTCAGTTCAGTCAGTAGCTCCCCCGAGGCTGCGTGTCGCAGTCTTGGAAGGGCAAGTCTGCGGCAGCTTGGTTAACTTCCTCCGTCTCCAGGGTAGACTCTAGCGCTTGTCTGACACATCCCCTGGGGTCTCTGTCGGCCTCTGAGGGTCTGGAAGGCCACACACTCCCTTGTGGCTTCTTAGATGTCCTGGGAAGTGCTCTGCTTGGAACGTCATCTTCACTGACGAGCAGGCCATGGACAGATTAGTGTCACCAACAAGCATGCGGTAAGGGGCTGCCCTCCTCTTCCATCTCAGCTTAGGGAAGCCCAGCTGTGCACCTCCTTAAACCAGTTTTACCATTGCTTCACGTGCTTAGAGCTCCACAGCAGGTTTCCACTGCCATTGGCCAGGCCTCTGAGGCCACGGAAAGCTTTTTGGGTTTTTTTTTTTTGGGGGGGTGGGGGTTGGTTTGTTTTTGAGATGGGGTGTCACTTGTGGCCCAGACTGCCTTGAACTCTTGATCCTCCTGCTTTAGCCTTCCGAGCACTATAATTATAGATGTGTGCCACTGAACCTGGCTTAGTTTTTCATTTTGATCTCAGCCATCACAGCTGTGTTGTCATGTGTTAGGGGATGGGGCAATGACCTGTGAGAAGCCTCTCACTGCAGCTCAACATGCACCCTTCTGGCCATCTGTTCCATTGTCGGAAGTGTGTACCTCTCCCCGCATTTAGGAGCTGGATTGGGCTGATTCTCAGGAAAGGCGCCATGTTTCATGGGGAATTGGTGTCCCAGGGCACAGACACCAAACCATAGGCCACCATCTGCCAGCTGTGCAGAATAGGAAGCAACCTTAGAACTCAGAGAGCCCATGCTGCCAGGTTGCAAGTCCAGGCTGCCCTCATATCCCTGCTGACCCATGCCTCTCCTCTTTCTCCAGCAATGGCAGATGAGCCTGGGGACCAGCGAAGACCACCAACACTTCACCTGCACCATCTGGAGGTGAGGCGCAACCGGGCCCCGGCCCCGGGCTCCTGCTGCAGGCCAGGCACTGCTCAGAGGACAGGAAAGGGGAAGACAGCAGATGGGTGGGGTCCTGTGCCCCAGAGGGAGCACTGGCCAGTGGGGACCACACTGGAGCGGGAGGACTTCCACGAGGGGCAGGGGGGTGCTCCCCCAGGACATGACTGAGGCCAAGGGTGACGGGTTGGGGGATGATGGTCTGGGAAGAAGAGACCTGTGGGATACGGAAGGGGTCCCAGGAAGGGAAGGGCTACCCTGTCCTGAGAACAGCCCTGTGGCTCTAAAGGGCTTTTGGCAAATTTTTTTAATGAAGGTAAAAATTCAGCTTTCTAAAGAACACAGTTCAGGCTGGGAACTTGGCTCAGCGGTAGAACACTTGCCTAACTTGAGCAAGGCCCTGGGTTTCAGCCTGAGCATCAGCAAAAAAACTCCAAAAACCTGGCTCCAGTGGCTCACACCTATAATACTACTTAGGAGGCTAAGAATAGGAGGATCTCAGTTTGAGGCCAGCCTGGGCAAATAGTTCACAAAGCCCTGTCTCCAAAATAACTAGAGCAAAATGGACTAGAGTTGTGGCTCAAGCAGTAGAGCGCCTCCTTTGCAACTGCAAGGCCCTGAGTTCAAACCCCAGTCCCTCAAAAAAAAAAAAAAAAACCAGTTTGGTGACATTAACACATTTACAGTGCTGTGCAGTCATCATCTCTGTTGAGTTCCTGTACATTTCCCCAGGAGCCATCAACCTGTCCCCTCCCCATCCCCTGACTGAGTCCACCGCGTGTCTCTAGATCCTCCTGTTCTGGATGTATCCTATCGATGGAGCCACACAGTGTGTGCTTGTGTGTCCACTTCTATCCCTGAGCACCGTGTCCTCAAGGTCCCTCCACACTGTGTTGTGAGTCAGTCTGGTCCTGTCCATGGCTGAGTGGCGCTTGCGGGGCTTCATGTAGGCATGAGCTCAGATCCCAGGCTGATGAAAGCAGGGAGCCCAGGGGACACTCGCTAAGGCAGTGGACAGAAGGCGGCATGCAGGAAATTGGCCATAGATTGCACTTGAACGGGGGCGAGGGAGGAAACGGGAGACACCCCATGTGAGCCTAGCATCTGGGTGGGTGGGTGGGTGGGTTCTGAGCTGAGGGACGCTGGGGGCTCACCCCTGTAATCCCAGGTACTCAGGAGGCAGAGATCACGGTTCAAAGCCAGCCTGAGCAAATAGTTCACAAGACCCTATCTTGAAAAAACCTTCACAGAAAGGGGCTGGGGGAGTTGGCTCAAGGATAGACCCTGAGTTCAAGCCCCACTACCAAAAAAAAAAAAAAAAAAAAAAAAAACTAGAGTGGCACAGGGACCAAGGGGTCATGGGAGTTGGGAGCTGGGGGGACTTTGGTCCAGGCCAGGCTCTTTCCAAGGCCTCTGTCCTGGTCCCACAGCACCTGACCCATCGGCCCCCCCTCCTTTGCAGGCCACAGGGGAAATCATACTTGTACTTCACCCAATTCAAGGCTGAGGTGCGAGGTGCCGAGATTGAGTACGCCATGGCCTACGTGAGTACCAACGGGGGTGGCAAGGGCAGAGGTGGACCCAGAGGGCCCCGTGATGGCCTCAGCCCTCTGAGCCTCAGTGGACGCCCAGTGGCACCTCTGCACCCTCTTGGCAGCCAAGCCTACTGTAATTGGGTGCTTGGAACAGGCAGTGTGGTGCCACAGAGTTTCCCAGCCGCTCTTCCTGCAGACCGCCACTTCTCACTGGGTCAGAACAATTGGGACACTGCTGTGTCCACCCAGGTGAAGTCAACCAGGAACACAGGATCCTAGGCTGTAACTAGCCATGTCGTTGGGGCCTACTGGGTGTCCCCCTAGGGTCCCAGCCTGATGCCATGCAGTTCCCTTTCTGGTGACAGATTAGAGCCAGTGCTGGGGATGGAGCCCAGGGCCTGTGCAAGCCAGGCAAGTGCTCACCACTGAGCTACAGCCCCAGCCCATTTCTGGTTTTGAAGATTTGAATTTTAAAGATTATGATGCTAATATCATTTTTAATAACTATTGAAATTAAAATTGGGAGCCAGACACGATGGCCCTTGCCTATAATCCCAGCTATACAAAGAGGCATAAGTAGAAGGATCGTGATCTGAGCAAAATACGTGAGACCCTACCTGAAAACTCACTAAAAATGACTAAAGCTCAAGGGCTGGTGAGGGCTCAAGCTTCAAGCACGAAGGCCTGAGCTCAAATCCCAGTGCTGCCAAACAAAAAAATTAAAACTGGTTTTGGGTTAAATGCCATTCCCTTTCTGCCTGTATGTGGCAGAGGCTGAAGTGTTCAGCCAGGTGACGTGATCCTGACAGGTCCGCCAGCCACTCGTACTGCCTCCTCCCTACACCTCATTAGCAGATGCACGTGTTCTCTCTCTCTCTCTCTCTCTCTCTCTCTCTCTCTATCTATCTATCTCATAACCATCCTATTGCTCACTTTCAGTCCAAGGCTGCATTTGAGCGAGAAAGCGATGTTCCCCTGAAAAGCGAGGAATTCCAAGTGACCAAGACAGCAGGTAGGTAAAGACAGCCCAGTGGAGAGGAATACAGAGGGGGTGTGAGCCGGGTTCCTCACATCCCACAGATGGAGTGTCTGCACACTGTGCAGAAGGACCTGTGGGTGGGAGAGCCAGCAGTGCCGCTGCTTAGCTTTGGCCTCATAGCTGACCAGCATCATAGACAATAGGTCTCTTTTCTGTCACTATAACACAACAACCTGAGGTGGCTACATGGTACACACAGAGGGTTATGTAGCTCCTGGTTCTGGAGGCTCAAGAGCACAGCACTGGACATTGAGGACCTCACAGTGGGTGGCAGGAGGACATGCGAGGAGGAGCGGTCTCGGGACAGAATGGAGGGTCTGGGACAGCACAGTGCTCTTTGAAGGCATGAACCCACTGACCTCTGCCCTCCCCTGAAGCTCTTACTCTAGTTTCTTGAGGTGCCAGGGATATAACCTAGGGTATCATGCACACCAGGCAAATGCTCCCCACTGAGCCACACCCCAGCCCCTCCACCTCTAAAAGTTCCCTACCTCAGAACGGCCACACTGAGGCAGGGCTCCCAGGACTTAAGCCAAGGAGCATGCTGGAGTCTCAGCTGAGAGAGGGCTGTGTCGGCAGGTCCCTTGGGTCTGCTTCATAGACACTGGAACGTGGGCTTCCAGTACTGTTCCCTTATCACAGTAACTTCCTTCCTTTCAGGCACAGTGGCCCATACCTGTGTCCCTGGGTACTCAGGAGAGTGAGGCAGGCGGGTCACTGCCTGGGCCATGTACAGAGAGACCCTGCCTCAAAAAAAAAAAAAAAAAATGGTGACACTGGAATTTGAACTGTGGGCTTTGCACTTGCAAAGTGGTGGTAGAGTAGCACCTGAGCCCCACCTGCAGTCCATTTTGCTCTGGTTATTTGCAGATGGGGCCTCCTGAACTGTTTGCTCTGGCTGGCCTCCAACCTCGATCCTCCCAATCTCAGCCTTCTAAGTAGCTAGGATTACAGGCACGAGCCACAGCACCCTGCAGGACCATTTTTTTTTAAGGCTGTGTAAAAATGTAAAAATGGAGGACTAGGGTGGTCTCAAGAACACTGGCCTGGCATACATAAGCGCCTGGTTCAATCCCCAGCACTGGGGGGAAAAGTAAGAGCCACCCTTCATGTGTGGGCCACACCTCGGCAGGCAGCGGGCCACTATGTCAATCCCTGTTGTAGAACCCAAAATGTAAAGCCTTGCATTCAGCAAGGACCCTGAAGGGTCACTGAGCCTGTCAGCTCCACACAAAGAGGGTCTGTGAACCTCTGCCCTCCCCACCTGTCTCAGACTTCAGTCCAGAAGCAGATTTGGGGCTTGGAAGCAGGGTGGTTCAGTGGTGAGTGCTGCCTAGCAGGCTCCAGGCCCTGGGCTTATCCCCAGCACTGCAAAATAAAATGGAAATGGGAGCATTGTGTGGAGGCTGGGACCACAGCAGGCCAAGGGGGGCCTGGTATCACCAGGCAGCACTTGGGTCCTCCTGAGTGCCACCACTGTCCTCTGGGTCATGTTAAGCTGCACAAGTACTTGGGTGCTCCCAAGCAGGGGGAGGGGCCAGAGGCCTGGCTTGGTGTGGGCGTGTGGGCCTTAGATGAGCTTACTGAACCAGCAAGAAGCCACACAGCCTGGCCCCACCGCCCCTGCTCACACCTGGGTCCGGCTTCCATTTTGTCCACTCCCACAGTCGTTCTTGATGTGGCATAAGTGACCACAGCTCTTCCCACCTGGCCCTTAGCTGTCCACCCCAGGGTCAGCCCAACTGCTTGCCCTCTGCTCCGCCTCTTCTGTGCCCCTCACCTGTAAGACTCCATACCTGGACCTTTCCCCCATGGAGTCTTCTATGCCCGCCAGCCCCAGATTCCCGGGACTAAGCGTGGCAGTGGTGTGCCAGGGCCTGACTGTGTGCTTCTGCCTTATAGTGGCTCACAGACCTGGGGCCTTCAAGGCCGAGTTGTCCAAACTGGTGATCGTCGCCAAGGAGGCCCACGGCGAGCTGTGACTGGCCCCCAGTCAAGGTGGCATTGCGTCTCCACTGCTGAAGAAGCCCAGGCCTCCCTCGGAGCGCTGGCACCCAACCGCTTCTCTAGGAGCCTCGGTTCTCCAGACAGCCGATTTGCCAAGTGTGCAGAGCCCTGCCACTGCCATGCCTTCTGAACTCCCGCCTTTTTCTTACCTGCAGCGATGATGGGGCACCTGGAGGGCGGGGACCAAGGGGCCTCTCACTTTTCTCAAGCCAGCGTCTCCCTGGGACCCAGCCAGGTCTGGACAGCTGCCGTTCTCCCTCAAGCCCGGCCAGTGCTCCTGGCCCCCAGGACCAGTTTCTTACCATTTACCCAGAGACCTTCTTTCTGATGAACTGGGAAGAGAGGGAATGTTCTTTCATATTTAAATAAATAAAAAACAACTGGAGACTGGGCCCTCCCGAAGGGAGAATGGCAGCCCCCCTCCCTTCCCTTCCCTGGGGGCCGTGCTGAGCTGGGTGAGTAGCATCTGCAGAGTGGGACCCCATGAGGGCCCCTGCACTGGATCCCTAGGCAGCCAGTGTGACATGGTGTCTGCAGTCAGACCCAGCACTTGTTCTGCCGGCACAAGCCCGTTGTGGCACGGAGGCCACCCTCATATTTTGTGGTCACCTCCTGTGACAGGTGGCCCCCCAGCACAAGGGCCTGGCAGACCTGCTCTCCCAACCTGATCGGTGGTTGCTTTGGGTTAGGGTTTGAAGCGGGTGCTTCAGTTTGCGTTAGGTAAAAGTAGAGATGCGTCAGAGCCATGGCTGCTCTGAGGCCCTGGTTGCCCATCCACCTTTGACCTTCTGCCTGACCTCTGACTCTCGTCTCACTGCAAACCAGGGGCAAGTCATCTGCGTGGCCCTCCCCTGGCACTGTGCACTGCTGCACTGTCCCTCCCTCCAGCACCCCTGGGAGCAAGGTCCAGGGTCCCTGGCGAGAGGAGTTGGGTGTTCTCCAAATGGTGACTTAGGGACCTAAAGGTGCTCAGAGGAAGAATGAACCTGTGGATTTGTGTGTGTGACCATGAGAAAGAAGCCCCTTGACCTGAGAGGGCACCTGGGTCTCCAGAGCACAGTTACCTTCAGGTGCCCGAGGATGAGGGCACCTGGGACCTGGTGGAGGAACGGCAGGTAGGAGCAGCTTGGGGCACCTGCTCCTCCCCAGCCCCCTCCAAGTCCCTGGCTGTCACCAAGGATGCAGAGTAGCTGGTGCCATGTGCTGGGATGAAAGTGGGCTGTCCATTTGCCCTTCAGTGCAGTTTTTTTCCCATTTGCAGTGCTGGGTAAACCCAGAGCCTCCCACGTGCTCAGCAAGGGCTCACCCCAAGCCGCACCCCAGGCACCCTTCAAGCACCTTAATGTAGCTTTCAGGTAAACCCCAAATTGGAGCCACCTGATCCCACAATATGAGCCATCAGGACACAGCAACCCCCTTGTTTGAGCTAGCAGAAGCCATGTGGTGCAGCCCTGAGATGGGTCAATAAGCCTGTGACCCAGCGGGGCAGAGGTGAAATTTGTCAATCAGGGCCACGGACATATGCGTCATGTGCAGCCCCTGCATAAACGGCAGACATAGCTGGGCATGGCGGTACCCGCCTGTAATCCCAGCACTCGAGAGGCTGAAGCAGGAGGATTTCAAGTTGCAGGCCAGCCTGGGCTGAAAATAAAAAACTAAAGAAAGGCAAATCCTGAGAGGGTGAGTGTGTCAGATGGTGCCAGCAATTTCTACAACAGCCCTCATCACGAATGGAAGGCGGCCACTTTATTTCAAGACATTCCTAGTGCTCTTTTATATTTTTAATTGAATTTCAAGTTTATAAAAAGAATCCAGACAGGCAGGACGGCCCAGCAGGGAAGAAAGTCATGGCACGCTGATGGATTCTGTAGCACAGCCAAGGGCACCAGGGTTCATCTGGGGCCTCTTGAGCCAATGCACGTGTGCCCCGGGGAGGGCAGCACAGGTGGGCACAGCTGGCTCTGGGAAAACCTTTGGCCTCAGGACAGCAGAGGGCCACTCCAGATCTGGGGGAGTGTGGCCAGACGGTAGCAATTCCTCCACAGCCCGCCAGAGGGCAGCGCGCTCACAAGACAGCACGTGGGTTGGCAGCTAATCAGCAGAGCCACCTTTGCCCTGAACCAGCAGGCACCCGGAATAACCTTCCTGACCTGCCGCAGCACTGTGCAATGTGCTGTGACCCAGCCCCTTCTAACACAAGTGGCACTGTACGTCCACGGCTTGCAACAGGAATTGGGGGCTCCTGGGTGCTGCCAAAGCTGAGATGTGTCCAGGTGTGCTTTTATTTACTCATTTTGCAATGCTGGGCGTGGATCCCCAGGGCCTCTGGATGCTAGGCACAGCCTCACCACTGAGCTGCACCCTGGCTTGTGCAGCCAGTCTTGTAAAAACAGTGTTTGAGCTCCAGGAGGTGGAGATCTGGAAGATGACAGTTCAAGGCCAGCCCGGGCAAAAAGTTAAGCGACTCCATCGCCTTTTTTTTTTTTTTTTTCTTCTTCGGTGCTGGGGACCAAACTCAGGGCCTTACACTTGCCAGGCAAGCGCTCTTCCACTGAGCTAAATCCCCAACCCAAGCGACTCCATCTCAAACAACAAGCAGGGTATGGTGGTGCCGGCCTGTCATCCCAACCGTGCAGGAGGCCACAGCTAGAAGGATTTTGGTTCAGGTCAGCCCTGGGCAAAAACACAAATCACTATCTGAAAAACAGGTAAGGCAAAAAGGGTGAAATGTGACTCAAGCAGTAGAGCTCCTGCCTGGCCAGCACAAAGCCTGAGTTCAAATCCCATGCCACCAAAAAAGAAAACCTGGCATTTTTGGTTGCTTGCTTGATTTTCCAAAGATGACATTGTAATTTCAAAAGTGCGTGACTCTCAGGTGGCCGGACCGTCCCACCGCGCGAGGGGGAGTCACATTCTGACGTCTCAGGTGGGGTGACGGGTTTGGACACCAATACCTGCCCTGCCCCCACCCCATCAGGGCTTCTGGTTTCCAGCCAGTGTCCTGGCTCACAGGCCAAGCACCCACCGGGTCTCCACTGACTCTGCCAACCCCATTTATTCATCTCCTGGGGTGCGGGAGCGAGATCCCACAAACTCAGTTCTGGAGGCTGGAAGTGCAAAGCCAAGGTGAGAGCCAGGCTGTGGGGGAGTCCCCGGGCCGTCCCCAGCGCCTGCTCCCTGGTGCCCATCTCTGCCTCCATCTTCCACAGCCATCACACCTGTGTCCACACCGGCCCCTCTTGAGGACTGCAGAGGACCACGCCTGTGATCCCAGCACTGGGGAGGCTGAGGCAAGAGGACGGCCAGTTCTTGGCCAGCTCCGGCTACGCAGTGAGACCCAAAATCACAGCACCAAGACAGGCGGGGAGGACCAGGCCGGGAGGGAGGGCCAGGGAGCAGGGCCCAGGCCACAGGTCCAGCGGGCCCGCGGGCGGAGGTGGGATCAGATGCTGTCCTCGTCCAGCATCCTGCCCAGCCCGTCACAGATCCGGCGCAGGTGGGACCGGTAGGGCTCGGCCGGGCCATACAGCGCGGCCAGGAAGTCCCCGTTGGCAAAGTGGCCGAACACGTGGTTGATGCGGCCGTGGGACTTGGCGGTGAGGTGCGGCCCGGCGGCCTGGTGCAGCAGGTCGCGACACTCCAGCAGCCCGGCGGCCAGCACGCGCCGGTCGAAGGTGAAGGCCACCTGGTGGAAGCTGACCGCGGTCATGGCCAGGCTGCGCGCCCGCCGGCGGAAGCACCGCAGCTGCGCCAGCTCGTCGCCTCCCAGCTGGCCCGCACGCAGCAGCACGGCCACCTTCACGGCCACCTTGACCAGGTCCTTCAGCACCTTCTGCGCCTCCCTGCGGCTGTGCGTGAACTCCTTGGTGGCCCGGTACAGCTCGTCCAGCACCTCGCTGCTCGCGTCGTCCGCGAACACGGCCACCATGGCTTTCGAAGCCATCTTGCTGAGGACCTTCTTCTGGGCCTGCAGGGCCAGGCTCTTGGTGCTGAAGGTGTCCATGGGTCCTGCCGGGACGACAGACAGACAGCACTCTGAATGAGGGTTTCAGTGAAAGGGATGAATGTGTAACGGTGACATCCGCACTCACGCTCACCCTCCGTGCAGAGTTGAGACGGGGCTCGGGGCTCCCACCTCCCGCTGGGTCTGGCCACCATTTGCCACTCCCGTCCCTGGGCTGTTCCGGGTAAGGAACCTCACTCAGACCCGACTTTTCCCAGTGGGACTCCCCCACCCAAAGCCCTGCCCCCATCCCTGTGCCTCATCTCCCCCAAGACTCGCCCTTGGCTCGGCCTAGATTCCACCTCCTCCAGGAAGTCCTCCCTGATCTGCCAAGCTGACTGGTGAGACACCTTTGTTGAGCGTCATGGTGTCCAGGCTGCTCTGCCTTCCCCAGGTCACAGGGGAGGTGACCCCCTTCCCCACCGAGTGCTCAGGGACAGCAGAGTTGTCTCTGGAAAAGCTGCGACACAGACGTGGACACCCGGCCCCAGCCAGGCCCTGGTCAGCATTCGCCCCCACACAGCCTGGGCAGCCAGGCTCCAAAAGCCCTGGGGCCTCACAAACCCGTCTTTGTGTGAGCTCAGACCCCGGAGGAGTCCTGGCCCTCAGAGGTCAAGGTGCTTCCCTGCCCCCACCCGGTCACCAGACCCCACTGTCCACAGGCCGGGGCCAGGACATGGTTGTTGACTCAAGGCCGTGTGGCAGCCTGGAGCCAGCCGCCTGCGCGCATTTCATCATTTCTGCGGGGAAATGATTGTCATTTTGCAGAGGAGAACACAAAGCCTCTGAGAGGCCTAGCCACTCCCCCAAGGTCACACAGCAATGCAGAGCTGGCTGCTACCCCCATGCTTTTGTACCCCTAATCCTACCGCCTTCTCCACTTAATGCCCTTAAGGGGACAAGTAGTGAGGAGCAGGAGCTGTTTCCCATGATGAACCCAAGCCCTCTGTGAAGGGCCTGTCCCAGCCTTGCCTCAGTTTCCCCCACCTGTGAAGTGGAAAGGTCCTAGGACAGAAGCTTACGGCAAACCTCAGTGTCCCCAGGCTGTGAGTGTCCCCTGGGCAAGAGGCTGGGTCTTGTTGTAGGCAGACACTCAAACCTGTTTCTCTCTGGAAAGAGAAGTCTCAACTTTAGGCTGGCTGCCTGTTTCTCTAGAACATTCTACTCTATTTCCACTACCTGAATTTCCCCTTCCCCCATGGCCCACCCAGAAAATTCCTCCTCATGTGTGAAGTCCCCGCGTTCACCGTCACTTCCTCCGGGAAGTCCTCCTCCTTGACCCAGGCTGGGCTGCACAGCTCCTCACCCTAAGCTCCAGGGAGCTTAGGTGCCCAAGCACTGTGGCTTCCCTGCCTGAGGATGCAAACGGGGCCATATCTCCATCGTCACACCCGTCTCCAGCCCAGGGCCACTGTGTTGACTGCGTGACACGGGGTCTGCAGACACCGGGACCCGGGGGGACCTCTCAAGCCCAGCTTCCCACTTCGGAGAAGAGCAAACTGAGGCACAGACATTGCTTTCTGCAATCCAGACGGAGGCCCAGGAGCCCTGTGTTTCTGCCCATCTCAGAGGCTGTGCGACCCTGGCAGAGCTCTGCCCGTCTCTGGGCCTTGGCTTTCGCACGTGCAGGTCTGAGGTTGCACAGGCTGGTTCAGGAGGAGGGGCTGGGCCTGTTGACAGACTTCAAGAAGCAGCCGGAAAGGGGTTGGTGGACGGGACAGCTGCAGCTGCCTTGCAGCCCCAGGCGGCCCACACCTGGACAGCCAGCTGTGCCTCCCCTTCCTCCTCCCGCCATTGTTCTGCAGAAACTCCCCATTCTGGCAGCGGCCGGGAGCTGAGTGCTGTCCCTGGGGACCAGGCTGCGGCCCAAAATAAACCCAGCCTTCCTTCCTGCAGGACCCAGCACGGTGGCCATGAGTCCTTCACAACAGGGACCTTCCCAGGGACGAGACAGTGTCCCTGGTCACTGCCCACTGAGTGTCAGAGCCAAACAACCCAGTGCAGTTTCAGGAATTCGGCCCAAACATTCCGTCGCTTAACAGGCACTAGGGACGTAGTGATGACCAGAAGAGACAGCGTCCCTGCTCACCCAGCACTGCAGCCTTTAGACTGCATATGCCACTTACTGCAGACAAGTCAGGGCCACCTGAGTCCTGAGGAACAACCTCCATGCTGCATCGCCTCTACACACCTTTTTTTCTCAGTACTGGAGTTTGAACTCAGGGTCTACACCTTGAGCCACTTCACCGGGCCTTTTTGTGTGTGTGTGTGTGAAGGGTTTTTCAGACAGGGTCTCCTGAACTATTTGCCCAGCTGGCCTCAAACCCCGATCCTCCTGATCTCTGCCTCCTGAGTAGCTGGGATTACAGGGTGAGCCACCGGCGCTTAGCTCTGCCCACGTTTAGAGAGATTAATAGAGCTGCCGTGTGGCTCCCTGGCAGAGCACCTGCCTGGCATGCCCAAGGCCCTCAGTTCGTCCCAAAAAAACAAACTAGATGGACACACACAGTGCCCATCCACATGCTGGAATATTACTCAGTTGTGAACAGGATGAGGCTCTGACCCACACTGCAGGAGGGACCCTGAGGACGCGGTGCTCCGTGAGAAGCAGACACACAAGCACACAGCGTGTGACTCCACTGATAGGACACGGCCAGAACAGGGAATCCAGGGACAGGAAGTGGACTCGTGGGCCAGGGGCTGGGGAGAGGCAGGGTGACTGCTCCTTGGGATGGGGCTTCCTTTTGGGTGATGGAATGTCCTAGAACTGGACAGCAGTGATGGCTACCCAACCTTGTGAACCACAGAATGATCCGCCATGGCAGCGAATATTATGCCGTGTGAAATATCATTTCTCTGAGGTGAGCGTTTATAAGCTACACCTTCACTGTGTAACTCTTTAAAGATGTAAAGGAACCGAGTGGATTCACTCAGGATATGATTCAAATTGTCACCCACACAAAATGCAAGGAGCACACACTGACATCTACACATCGCTTGCACATGGCCAGGCACACCGTGGGTGCTCAAAAGACATTTCACTGGAACACCTTCCAGTCAGGTGTGGCGGTGCACGCCTGTAATCCCAGCCCTCGGGAAGGTGAGGCAGAGCTACACAGTGAGACCTGCCTCAGACAACAAGCAAACAACACAAGCCCAGGCTCAGGCCCTGCTGCCTGTGAAGATGACTCAGGAACCTGAGGTCCAGGCGGCACAGTGACCTCGCAGCGCTAAATTCCCATCAAAGCCGGCTCCATCTTCTCTCCACTCACCCGGGACTCGAATTCGGAATATTTACTGATTATCCAGACTACAAAATCAGCCAGGCGCCTGTGGCTCACGCCTGTGATCCCAGCTTCTCAGGAGGCAGAGGTCAGGAGGATCACGGTTCAAACCTAGCCCAGGCAAATAGTTCACAAGACCCTTCCTCAAAAAATCCTGCACAAAAAAGGACTGGTGGAGTGGCTCAAGGTGAAGGCCCTGAATTCAAGCTGCAGTACCGCAAAAAAAAAATTTTTTTCAAAAACACCCCTGGCACAGGTTTAGACTTTGGACAGGGACATTTGGAAGCTGTAGAGAGCAGCTGTGGAGCCCGGCTGGACGCCAGGGTCCCTGGTCTCCGCCCCCTAAATGCTGGAACATTGTGTTTTTGTCACAAGCAAAATCCCTCAGCAATGGTGTCACCTGCCCAAAGGATACCAGAATCCAGTAAACAAAGAAAACCAGTCATTTCAGGGATGAATTAGGCCGCGGGGACACGGTAAAAGGGAAGGCTGGGGGGTGTCAGAAAGGCCTCTCTGCAAAAAGGCCCTGGATCTGGAACTGGGTGACAAGTCCTAGGGGAGGGAGAGCCAGGCAGAGGAAGTGGCCTGTGCAAAGGTCCTGGGGCAGAGCCATAAGGGAGGCACAGTCAGGAGGCTGCAGCCCCTGTGCAGGTCCACCCACAGCTGAGGTCTCCCCACTCTGACCCCAGACCGGCCCCCTGCCTGGGGTGGCTCCTTTCCCATCTCTAAAATGGCGTCCAGCCACCGGCTTTCTGGCTCTGCCAACACCAGCCCCGCCCCCCACGTTCGTTCCCAGGTCTGGGCCACTGGTTGCACCTTGAACTTTTCTTCCTCTGCCAAACTCCTCACCTTCTGGACTCACACCTCTGTCCTCATCTCCACTTTGGGCACTGGAAAACCTCAGGGTCGCCCCTCCACACAGTGCCATCTTTACTGGCACAAGGCCAAGACCAGAGGCAGCTGAGACACAGAGGAGCTTGAGCAGCACTGTCGCCCTGTGTGCCTTGTTCTCCCAGTGCCTTGGGGACAACCTCTCCCCAAGCCCATCTACAGCCTCCCCTCCTCCTGTCCTGCTTGCTGGACCTCAGCCTTGCTGTTCTTGTAACACACTAGGCCTAGTCTAGCCTCAGGGCCTTTGCACGTGCTGTGCCCCCTTCCTGACACCTTTCCCAGCCAGAAGTTCCCCGGCTCAGAGAGGCCTTCCCTGACCCTGTCCTCTGTCAACCTCACTGACAAATTAATGACTTTCGCTTCCCACACCAGACGGTGAAGGTGGGAATGGCTAGGCACACAGTTGGTGCTCAGTAAATGTCTATTTAATGACTGATCCACTACCCAGTGCTCCCAAGCAATGATGCTGGAAAGCTGCCCACCCCCCCCCGCCACTGTGGCCGGTGGCTGGCCTGGGGGTCTCCCTCTCAGGGACTCCCATGTGACCCAGGCAGAGCGCAGACCGGCCCGCCACTTCTGGTTCCAGACCCCGGGCAAGGGCTGCTGGGGTGTCACAGGGCAGAGCCCACTCCCGGGGCTCGCCACCCGCAGGTCCGGAGGGAAGGCCGCCTCCCAGGGGACATGGGCTGGAGGTTCAAGCCCCAGCGCTGCCAAAAATAAAATTAAATCTGACTTAGTTCACTAGGGCGTACCCTGTCGCCGTGAAGAGTGGCTGTGCTGGAGAACCAGATGGCACAGTTTCCCGAGGCACAGCAGTGGCCTCCCGTGAGGTGGCTCCGGCTCGCCACGGCCCTTGGGCAGCTGCGCTCTGGTCGCATGAATTCTTCATGTCCCTCACAAAGGACATCAATAATTGATGTACCCGCCGTGTAGGGCCACGTGGGCCCAGCTCAGCCCAGCTGCCGTGTCCCAGGGTGGCCTTGGCCGCTGCCCTCTCTGTGGCCCACGTCCCCCCAGTCTTTGTGCCAACATACCGCCACCACCCACCTCAGGATGCCCACTGCATCCAGCCCGTGCCGGCCGCTGCTCAGGCTCACTGGTGCCATGGGGGACCCTGCTGGCCCGAGATGGGGAAGGGCATCAGTGGTTCTCAAACTGGGTTCCCCAGAGCTCTCAGTTGCCACCCTAAGGATGGGTGGGGCCCAGTCACCCCATCCTGGCTGCTATGGGTGCCAGGACATTTTCCACTGTGGTCAAATTCCCACTGAAGACAGACTGAGGCCAAAAAATGAATGCTGGGACACTGTGGCCCAACCGATCCACCATGGCCACACACACACACACACACACACACACACACACACACACACACACACGCCTGTCCTCGCCTCCAGGGCTTCCATCCTCATCCCCTCTGTCCTGGTCCCCCACAATCCATCCTCACTGAAGCAGCCAGTGAGCGCTGAGTGAGCCCCTCCCTCCCCTGCCCACAGCCCTCCATGGCTCCCACCTCCCTCAGGCTCAAAGCCCAAGTCCTCCCTGCAGCCCACAGGGCCCTGCACGACCTGCCTGTCCCCTCCCTCCTCCCTCCATCCCCCTCACTCCCTCTGCTCCAGCCACACGGCCTCCTCACTGCTCCTCCAACACCCAGGCTCGTCCTGCCCCAGGGCCTTTGCACAGCTACACTCTCTGCGCGGAATGCTCTTCCTCCAGGTCTCCAGGGGACTGTATCTTTTTTTAGTCATTCAGGACTCAATTTACAAGTCACATTCTCAGGAAGCCTTCCCAGACTCCCATCCATGCCAATGTCCCCGTCGTCTGTCCCCTCATCTTCATGCAATCACAGCTAAGAGTAAGATGGCTCCACACCCATCTCCCCCAACTCCAATCTGAGCCAAGAAGGGTGAACAGACCAGCCCAGTGCCCTGTGCCAGGCTTGACTTACTGTAGGTACTCAGTTTCTTGAGTGAATAAGCAATCTCCCAGCACCAGAGGAGCGCAGTGTCAGAGACCTCATCCAAAGTCCCCACTGTCCAGCCAGGAAGGCTGAGACCAAGATACAGATCTCCACCAAGGTTGCACAGTAGCACAGACAGAGCTCCTAGGACCTGAGGTGACGCTCCCCACCCTCCCAACGCCCGGCTGCCACTGCCAAGCTCCCTGGAAGGACCTGCAACTTTGTGATTACTACAGAGGGGGAAACTGAGGCAGGGCTGGGAGCTGTTGAAGTTCACAGAGTTATGACGCAGCAGGAGTGGGATCTGAACTCAGCCCTTCACTGGTGCCCTTCTCTCCTGGTTGCAAATGTGGCTTTGAGTCTCCCCTCCCCCACAGCCCACCCTGAAGGGGACCAGGGAGCCCTTTCAGGAAGGTGAAAGGTCATGTGCCCAGTGACCCCTTTTCATGGTGCCTTCAAGGGGCCTTCAGTAAAGATGCACAGAAGCTCCAGGCGCCGGTGGCTCAATCCTGTAATCCCAGCTACTCAGGAGGCAGAGATCAGGAGGATCACAGTTCGAAACCAGCCCAGGCAAATAGTTTTCAAGACCCTCAAGTGGTAGAGCGCCTGCGAAGACTCCAACCCCTCCAGGTACCCTCCCACCCGGGCTTAGCTCCTTTCCAGAAGGAAAAGGAGACCCGAGACGGGGAAGCCGAGACGTGGGGACTCTGCTAGGGAGACCCATGGGTGGGAGGCCCCAGGGGCAGGACGCTGTGTAACTGGACCAAGCTCCATCTTCCCCCCCACCAGGCCTAGACCTGAAGTGCATGAGTCATCAACCTCTGGACAGGACAGTTCCCATGACAATGGTTACAGCTGTAGCCTCATTGTCCCATTTAACAGACAGGGACACTGAGGCCCTGAGAGCCCACACTGAAAACTCAAGCACCCAAAAGCCCTCAAGTGCTGGCCTTAGGTGAGAAACTGGGGTTCAGGACCAGGTGACTCACCCGGGATCACACGGAGGCCTGCCTGACCCCCGAGGGTCGCTCCACATGCAGGGTCCAGCCACACACCAGCCTCTGCTGATCAGCCGGGGAAGAAGCTCGGCCCAGGTGCTGGTGTGGCCACAGCTCTTTGTTCCTGGTTTCCATGGGTACAGCGTCCCTGGGCCAGCTCCTCCTCCGCCCCTCCCAGCTGCCAGGCAGGTCCTTGGCCCAGCCCAGCTAGTCAGCCTGTTACCTTGTTATGTTTTAAAGTTGGCGCCTGTGTGAACCTACCCGGATGGCAGAAGGCACGGCTGTGCAAAGGCCCTGAGGCTGAAGCATGTGGGGGATGGGGCTACTGGGAAGCAGCCCGACTGGGATCAGAGTGACAGTGAAGCAAGGAGTAACACTCTTGCATTTATTCCTCCTTAAAGCTCTCAACCTCTGGGAATCATGCCCCACCCATTTTACAGATGAGGAAACTGAGGCACGTAAGAATTGAATTACTTGGGCCAGATGCAGTGCTCATGCCTATAATCCCAGCTACTCAGGAGACAGCGCTCAGAAGGATTGCGATTTGAAACGAGCTTGGGCAAAAAGTTAGAGACCCCATTTCATTATTATGCAGTATGTTGGTGACACTCATGTAATCCCACCTACATGGTAAGCATATGTAGGATTGCAGTCTTCACCTGGTGCAGGCAAAAAGCTCAAGACCCTATCTGAAAAATAACTGAAGTAAAAAGACCTGGGGCGTGGCTCAAGTGACAGAGTATCTTCCCAGCAAACATGAGGCCCTGAGTTCAAATCCCAGTACTGGGGGAAAAAAAAGAACAGAATTACTTGTTCAAGGTACCATAGCCTGGGAGCCAGACTGCTCCGAGCTCTCCGAAGCCACTGCGCTGAACTGTCCTGACCCTCCGCGTCCTCCCAGGGCGTTCACTGCCCCCAGCCAGCCAGGAAGTGACCTTGGAGGCCTGTTTACAGCTCTATGTCCCCCCATGGAGAAGATGCTGAATACGTGGGAATCCAAAGCCACTGCAGATTCCAGTCCTGCCTCTGACCCCACCTACCTGGCCAATCACTGGCCACTTTCTGGGCCTCAGTTTGCCCTCTAGGGAAATGGGGCCACCACAGAAAAGGCCAGGAGGTGACAGATGAGTCAGGTTTCCTGCCTGCCAATTACCTTGGCGGTGACCGTCCGAATTCACAGCTAGCAAAACTGAGGCCAAGGCCCCAGGCCATGGGGAGCCCGCTGGGGGCCGGCTCGGGGGTACCTGGTCCTGGCAGCGCTGGATCCTGAGCAGCCACACTGCTTCCCACCCCACGCCTTTGGCTGCGCTGCCCACCAGCCCGAATCTGGCAGCACCTGCCACCTGCACTGTTAAATGGGCAGAACCCATCAAAGTCCCCAAGGAGGTGGCACTGGTCCTAGAGCACAGCCCCACGGCAGGGGGGTGGGCAGTGCACGGTCTGTGTCCCCCCTACCCAACCCATACAGCCAAACAGCGACAGAGACTGGGAAACTGAGGCAGGAAAGCCACGGGAAGAAGCTGGGGGGTGCAGGGGTCAGGTGGGGGGGCACCTCTCGCTCACCTGCTCTCGGAGGTCCGTCGGTGCGACCGACCGTCTGGGATCCGCCAGTCGCCTGTGTGGGGCCGGGGCCTTTGCGGAGGCGACGGACAGGCGCCCCAGTCTGGAGGAGTGGGCGGGGCGGAATGTCGCCCCCGCCTTCTGGTAACCACGCCCACGAGAGGCCCCGCCTCTCCTCCGCCCCCGCCCGCGCGGAAGAATCCAAAGCAGCTCCTGAAGGGAGTGCGAGGCAATTAGCCAGTGGTAGCGCGGGCGATGTATGAAGAGGCCAATGGGAGGAGACTCCTGTGCAGTGACGCGACCGGGGGCGGGGTTCGGGGCGGGGTTCGGGGCGGGACTGGGCGGCTGGCGGGGGATTCCTCCGGAATTGCGGAGGACCGGATGCGGGGGCGCCAGCTGCCGCAAGGGGAGGAGGGGGACACACGAGACCCCAAAGGCAACTGGCCGCGCGTGGTTGCACTGGCTCCTGCTTGCTTTGGGACTCAGTTTACCGCCGGGGAGCAGGAGTTTGGGCAGAGGCGGCTCAGAGGCCCCGGGGACCCTGGCCTGTCACAGCCACCTGGGGCCCGGGACCCGCGCACATTCCCGCGTCCTGGGTGAGCCCGACCCCGGCTTCGGGGTCGAGGGGACTCTTTGGGGTGGGGTTGGGGGCAGGCCTCTGACCCAGGCCCCCAGTCCCGTCCGTCCCTGGGAAGTGGGGGACAGGCGGGAGGGCGCAGGGCCAGCGGGGCCCCCAGGAGGACCCGGCCCTGGAGCGGCTCCCAGCTCCCCGGCCTCCATTTCCTCCTCCTGCCCCGACTGGGGTCCCCAGGCCGCCTCCTCCATGGAGCCAGGCCGCAGACTGAGCAGACAGACCCTGGCCCAGGCCTCAGGAGGCAAAAATCATGAAAACGTGTCCTCATCCATGGTGGAGGAAGACAGTGAGGCCCAGAGAGGGAAAGTCACTTGCCTGAGGACACAAGTGGCAGAGCCAGGCCTCCAGGCTGCCCGTGCCTCTCCTGTCCCTCCAGTCCCTCCTGCCTGCTGCCAGGTCCTGCCCTCTATTAAATCTTCTGCACTGAGGACATTTGGATCTGAGGCAGCATAGACAGATGAGGCAGAAATTAAATGATTTTAAATAAACATTAAAAAGACCTGAGTTAGACATGGAACAAGAAAGTAAAACAAAAGCCAGAGCAGCTAGCTCCCTCTCACCTCTTTTTAAATGTTAAGTCACAAACTAATTCTACCTACTGTTGGGTGGAGAGTTATTGAGACCCCATCTCAACCAACGGTTGCCAGTGTTATCCACCTGTCATCCCAAGGTACACAGGAAGTGGAGCTCAGGAGGGTCATGGTCCAGGCTGGCCTAGGAGAAAGTGAGGCTCCATCTCCAAAGTTGCCAGAGCGAGAAGAGCTGGGTAGTTCAAGTGGAGGAGCACCTGCCTAGCAAGTTTTAAGCCCTGAGTGCAAACCCCAATATCACAAAAACAAAAAGTAGATGTTAAGTTAGAAGAACAGGGAGCCATAAAGGGCTAGCTACATGTGCATTCCTCTTTAAGATGTTTAGAGCTGCAAGGACAGTGGCTCACGTCTGTAGTCCCAGCTACGCAGGAGGATCTCTGTTCAAAGACAACCCAGGCAAATAGTTCACAAGACCATATCTTGAAAAAACCCATCACAAAAAGAGGCTGGTGGGGTGGCTCAAGTGGTAGAGCACCTGCCTAGCAAGCATGAAACCCTGAGTTCAAACCTCAGTGCCCCCCACCAAAAAAAAACCAGAGTCTTTACCCACATTTCCTGCGTGGACATTAGGAAATGTTTCTCCCAATTTTCTTCCCCACTTCCCTACTTTATCCTGTCATGCTGAAATAAATCCGTGCTGCAAAATTTCCACCTTGGGAGACTCCTTGTTGAGAGACACCTAGAAATGCTCTTCAGGTGAGGATCTCAAGGACCTGTGGTTTTTGTGTCATTACACCAAAGCTACTTGTTCCAGTGCATCTGAGATGGGTAGAGGAAGGTGTGGAGTGGGAGCAAAGTCCATTCAAACCCAGCACTGTGAAAATACATAAAAACTAAAAACAAGAGCTGTCCTTATCTGCCTCCATGCCATTGTCTCACCGGGCCCCAGTTTTCCCGATCTGTGACATGGCTCTTCAAATCAGTGAATTTTTTTCTTGGTGGTGGTGGTGGTTCTGGGGCTTGAACTCAGGGTCTCATGCTTGCTAGACTTTGCTAGGCAGGTGCTTTATCACTTGAATCACTCCGTCAGTCCTATTTTTGTGATGGGTTTTTCAAGATCGGATCTCAAGCATTCTTTGCCTCAGGCTGGCTTTGAACCTCAATCCTCCTGATGTCTGCCTCCTGAGTAGCAGAGTAGGATTACAGGCATGAGCCACCAGCGCCCCGCCAGACAGTGAATTTTAAAAGTTCCCATAAGGATGTGGAGAAATGGGAGTCCTTATACACTGCTGGTGGGATGAAAAATAATGCAGCCACTAGGGATAGCAGTTCGAAAGTTCCTCAAAAGCTAAACCGTATTACCATCTGACCCAGAAATCCCACTCTGGGGACATACTCCAAGAAGCTGAAAACAAGGACTGCAACTCAGCTTTATGTAGCCATGTTCACAGCAGCCAAAAGGTGGAAACAACCCATGTCCATCGAAGGACAGATAAACAAAATGTGGTCCCTCCATATAATGGAATATTACTCAGTCATGAAAAGGAAGGAACTTCTGACACCTGCTACAGATGGACCTTGAGGACCCAATGCTCAGTGAAATGAGCTGCACAGAAGGACAACTCTGCGGGATGCCACTCACAGGAGGTTCTCCAGAGACAGGAAGCAGGATGGTGGTGGGTGGGACGGGGGAGGGGAAAGGTGGCAGAGCTTGAGCTGGGGGAGATGGAAGGTGCTGGAGGTGGATGGTGGGGACACCAGCACAGCCACGTGAGTAAGCTCAATGCCACTGAGCTGTGCACTGAAACATGGCTAAGAGGGTACATTTTACGTTATATATTAATATAATTTTAAAAATTAATACTGTAGCTGGGTGCTGGTGGCTCATGCCTGTAATCCAGCCTGTAATCCCAGGATCGAGGTTCAAAGCCATCCCAGCAAATAGTTTATGAGACCCTATCTGGAAAAAAAAATTACAAAAAAGTCTGGTGGAGTGGCTCAAGGTGAAGACCCTGAGTTCAAGTCCCAAAAAAATATATATATAATATAATACAGTATAATATACTATAATAATACTGTAATATACTAAAAACCAGATAGGTGAGCTTTAAATGGGCGAATCTTACACTATGTGAGCTAGATCTCAACAAAGCTGGTTTTCTAGCCTAGAGCTTAGCTGAGCTCCCGCTGCAGGCGCCACAGCTGCGGGCGATTTGCACGCATTGGCTCAACCCCGCACCGACCCTTCTAGAGTCAAATGACAGATGACAAAATTCGAGCCCAGAAGAGCAAGTGATCTACCCCAGGTCACACAGCCAGAGCCTAGCAGGGGTGGGGTGGGATAGAACACAGGTGTCCTGTGGGGGTCCCAGCTGTGGGTGGTCTGGAGGAGCACTAGGGCCTAGTGACACAGGGCCATTGAGGCTTGGCAGGGGTGGGGGGCTCCCTCCTGGATCTGGGGTTCCACTTTGCCAGGATCAGGGCTCATCCCAGAGTCGGGGTGCAGCCGAGATCAGAGCTCAGCCTGGCATCAGGGAGCTCTATCGGGGCTGGGGGCTCAGTCCCAACAAAGTTCAGCGAGATGGGGTTTCTGTCCTGGGTCCCAAGTCTCATGTCGGGGTCGTGGCCGCGTCGATTCCGGGCGAGGCCGGCAGGGGGCGCGCTGTACACACGGCCCGCGCTGGCGGCTCCTGGGCTGCGGGGAGGACTCGCTGGGGGCGGGGTCTGCGTGCGGGACGGGCGGGGTCCCCCAGGCTAAGTCACTAGCGCCCCGCACCCCAGACCCCGCCTGGCACCCTGCCTGCGCCTGCGCGGTGGGGTCACATTTGGGAGCAGGGTGTGATGGGGGGGTTCAGTTCTGTGGGAGCCTCACAAGTCCCTCTGTTCGGCCTGGCGTTTTGGGAGGGGTGGTCCTTGGTGGCCAGTGACACCGGCCCTGCCTGCCTCGCTTCCACTAGCCAGGGTCCACCTGTCCCCACCCTGCAAGGACAGAGAGAAAAGGACCTGCAGGTGGGACCAGAGTAGGGACAGCAGGGGGCAGCCCTGCGCAGTCCCCCACTGCGGCCAGGCCGGGCGGGTTCTCAGAGGACCTTCCCAAGGGCATGAGGGAACCTGCGCCACCTCCCCAGGCCAGGTTCAGCTTAGGGTCTTCTTCTCTCCACTACGCAGTCCCTGTCCTCTGTCGCTGTCCCCTGCGTCCACGCCTCCCCGCACTTGCCACTGCCAGAATAGGAGCAGTTGGCCCCACAGGGAGGACACACTGCCATGTGTCACCGCAGATGCAGGCCGGCCACTTGTGAGTGGGAGGCAGCGCTTAGGAGGAGAAATGGGGTCCCCACCCCCTTATCCTGGGCTGGAGGAAGCTGCACTCTGGGGGACCTCGGTTACCTTATCTGGCAGCTCAGTTAGAGACCCTGAAACTTTCAGGCAATTGCCTGAGCTGACCTCCTCCACCAAAAGCCAGGCAAGGACATCGGGGCTGACATGGGGACACTCAGTGCCTGTGGGAACCCGGACTTAGCACATGGACACCCCACTCTGAAGGGTGACTGTGCCCAGACTGGCTTTGAACCGCGATCCTCCTGATCTCTGCCTCCTGAGTAGCCAGGATTACAGGCGTGAGCCACTGGCGCCTGGCAAGTCACCCTATATTTTAACAGCCATGGGACATGCCAGGTCCCATGCTGGGCTGAACACCCTGGAGGCATCATGGCGTCAGCCTTGCCTCCCTGTGTCCCTGGTGTTCCAAGTAGGGTCCAGCGCACAGTATGCATTCTCTAAATAGTCTTTAAACAACTGAATGAAACTTCTGTCCCCAACTGTGACTGAGAAAGCAGGGTTCAGAAAGAGCAATGACTTTATCCAGGAAGCAAATAAGAAACTGAGTCACGATTTGAGTCCAGGTTGGAAGATCTCCCTTCAGGGAATCTGCC